CTCACATCTCGTAGAAAATGTTAAAATTATTAGAAAAATTGTGTATTCAGAGAAAGTTCTTCGACCGGATCGGATAAAATAACGATTAGGTAAAAGAAACGAAGAAAGACTTATGAATACGGTTGGCAATGAAACATGTTGACATTCAGAGAGTCAGGTCAAGAAGAGAAAAATCTAAAAATAAACAATGCATGTGTATACGAGCTGCAAACGAAAGAATCGCCCCTGAAATAGTTTGTTAGGACATGCGTATCGTCAGCATTAGGTAACAGGTGTAAGATGTCTAACAATCGATCGATAAAAAACTTCCCGAGCTTGCCAAGAATCGCGACAAATTATATTTAAATTATAATTATAATTAATGAATGTTATATTATATTTAATTTTATTAATTATTTTATTCTATTAATTATAATTAATCAATATTATATTTAACTTAATTTTATTAATTATTTTATTCTATTAATTATAATTAATTAATATTATATTATATTTTATTTTATTAATTTTATTAATTTTTATTTTATTTTATTAATAATTAATTTTAATATTATATTATAATTAATTTTAATAAATTCGCAAATATCAACAAGCTAACAATAAGCTTTCTAATTAATTGCTAATCAATCATTCGAATGTCTAACGATAAGCGTTCAGAAAGTTATAACATGATAAACAGTCTTGTTGTCAACAGAGAAAAAAATTATTATTGAAACTCGTTAAAAAGAGTCATCATTTTTAATTTTCCTATTTTTTTAGCTTTTTTTTTATGCTTGATAGGTCGAAATATTTTGATTGATTATATAAATTGTTATTGTTAAATAAATACAAAGTTTAAATTATTTTTATTAAATAAATATAAAGTTTAGATTTTTATTGTTAAATAAATATCAAAAATTAAATATTTAGAGACTTTTAATCGATTCGATAAATTTTCGAGGAAGCACGAACTTGACCCAATTGACCGAATAGATAATATACGTGATCGATAGTGTGGGCGGGTTCTCGATCTCGAAAATTGCCGCTAAGATTAGCCAGTGTCTTGGAAGAAAACCGCTCAAACACGCTCCGCTTCGAGAAGCAAAAGGGTTACTCTCGAATATACTTATGCATGCCACGTGTACTACTATTTCATTATGCGCAAGACAGGAAGGAATCTGTTTTTTGGAATAGAAAAAAAATTATACACGTTCCTACTTTTTATTATCCGCGCAGAAATTTATTAAACCGATCATAGAAAATTATCATTTAATTTAAGATGTTTATTATTTAATTCAGGATGTAATATTAAATAGTAATTAATTATATTATTAAATATTATCATTAATAATAATAAGATAATAATTATATTATTAAATATTAGGAATAATATTAATATTTATAATATTAATATTATAAGAATAATATTAATATTTAAAATAATATTAATAATATAAGAATTATATTATTAAATATTATCATTAATAATAATAAGATATTATTATCAATATCATGAAATATTATATTATTATAATCCTATTAATATTATTAAATATTATATTGTATTATAATTATATAATATTATTATAATATAGTTATATTATATTAATATTAATATATAATAGTTATGTTAATATATTAATTATAAATTAATATATATCATAAATTAAATATTAATTATATTAAAAAATGATTTCCACTTTGAATTGAATAAGTATCGATCCTAATTTGTTTATAGAATATCTTGCTCGATCGAAGCTAGTCAGATTAGCTAGATCGCTCTTTGTTCCAAGACGCGTTATGACATGTTGAAAGATACACGAATTCTCGCAGGTTGTATTTTTTAAATGTCACAAACATTTTTCAAATATCACATATATATTAATAAATTAAATTTCTAACGTTCTGATAAACAAGGTAACGCGCGATTAAATATTCCGACTAGGAAGGACACCGGATATTTATTTAAAGAGAGACGACGACTGTAATCATTTAAGGACCCAATTTCCGGATAGATATGTATTTTTCGATCACGCTGTATAAATCGGTATCGCAGAGTCATGCGATGCATGTTAATCAAGCGGACATACGTATTCACGAGGATTTCGAACAAACGCCGGCACGTATTGCGTAATCATCGTGCGTGGAAATAATTCTCGTATAAAACCAGGTGGAGAACCTGTCGAACTATTCTTGATTAAAAAAAAAATTCTTTTTTTTTTTTAATTCTTTTTAATTATTTTTTCTAAAGAATTAAAAATTCTTTTTTTTAAGAATTAAAAATTCTTTCTTTTAAGAATTAAAAATTCTTTTAATTCTCTTTAATTTCTATTGTGTAATCATTGTGCGTGGAAATAATTCTCCTCGTATAAAGCATCCAGATGGAGAACCTGTCGGACTATTTTTCATTTAAAAAAGAAATTCTTTTAATTTTTTTTAAATTCTTTTTAATTCTTTTTTCTAAAAAATTAAAAATTCTTTTTTCTAAGAATTAAAAATTCTTTTTTCTAATAATTAAAAATTCTTTTTAATTATTTTTAATTTCTATTGCGTAATCATCATGCATGGAAATAATTCTTCTCGTATAAAACATCCAGGTGGAGAACCTGTCGGACTATTCTTCATTAAAAAAAAATTCTTTTAATTCTTTTTTTAAAAAAATCTTTTTAATTCTTTTTTCTAAAGAATTAAAAATTCTTTCTTTTTATGAATTAAAAATTCTTTTAATTCTTTTTTTAAAAAATTCTTTTTAATTCTTTCTAAAAAAAGAAAAAAACAGAAGGTACCATTCGACTTCGCGTCGAGCCTCCTGACACGATTAATTGGAACAAAAAAAAACGTGTCTAACGTCAGTATTACTTGGTAAGGACGTCATCGATTAATTCGACGAATGACGTGACGAATAACTCCACGTTGTCGTTGCAAGAAAGCAAGGCTTATCTCGCTTCGAAAGTTTCCGAATCGATTTCGAGCGAAACACAAGTCGTTTGAAGCTTTCTAGAGGCGCGAATCGATCGGGTTAGACGCTTAAAGGTACAAGAAGCCAGCGGAGGATATCCTTACGTAATTTAATTTTCTATATTTTAGCGCGTCCTAGAATTTGACTCGACCTCGACTGTAATCTCGAGGTCTTTCGATCAATTTCAATCTTCGTTTGCGGTGAGATTCGTATCAAGGAACGATATCTGGTTTTCTGGGACACCGTGTGTGCATGGGCCCGATAATTCAATATCGATAAAGAACTTTCCAAACGTCGTCGTGATGAAAAAATATGAAAAATATGTGATAATGAAAAAATATGTGAAACCTGTATTCTTGTCAAATGTTATCTATCTGGGTCTAATCACACATATGTCTATTTATATAATAAAAAATAAAAAATCCCTAAAGAAACTTTTCTAATATTTTTAATATATTTTTATGTCTCTCGTATATGTATTTGTATAAAAACACACGACCACAAAAATCACATAAACATATGTTTGTAAAACATGCACTGTTTAAATATTGTGTGGTCTGCCTAATGTGATCTCGTGGTAGGGTCATTATGAATGTGACGTCCTCATCACAAAATTCTTTTTTTTTCTTAATAAAATCAATTATATATATATATATATATATATATTTATATATTAAAAATATATATATATATATATATATTTTATATATTTAAAAAATATAATTTAAAATATATATGAATATTAATATTAAAATATATATTTTAATATTAATAAAAATACATATTTCAATAAATATTTAAAATCGATTTTATTAAAAAAATATTACGTAATATTTAAATGCAAATAAAATACTGAATTAAGATTCAATTCTATTGAGAAAAAAAACGCGTTTGATGAGGACATGCTATTTTTATTCGTAATGACACTACCACAAGATCACATTAGGTAGGCCATATCTTCTATTATTTTTGTGGTCGCATGATTTATACAAATACATGTATGAGCGACATAAAAATATTATAAATGTTAAAATCATTATAAAAGTGCGGGAGTTTCGTATATTTAATTATTATCGTATATTTAATTTTTTATAATAATTTTCTTATATTTAATATTATATTTAATTAATATTATATTTATTTAATAATTTCCGTATATTTAATATTATATTTATTTAATATTATATTTATTTAATTTTATATTTATATTTATTTAATATTATATTTATTTAATAATTTTCGTATATTTAATATTACATTTAATTTTTCTTAAAAATGTGTGCGATATTAAAATATTGCAGCAACATTGCAGCAATATTAATACAATATTGCTGCAATATTCTGTGCTGTATGGGTAGCCAGCAAACCCCAAATAACAGTTACATAATTATTAGTTATAATTTCCCACAATATAACTGTTACATGTTATATAACAGTTACATAACACGTAACAATTATAATGTCGAGTAGGAAATTACAACTAACAGTTCCATAAATGTTACTTGGTGTTCTGGATATACACATTTATTCTTCTTCCTAAAAAGAAGTGTTTTAAGAGAAAAGTGACAAAAATAAAAAACCTGTTTATAAAGTCGAATAAAGGCGCACTCGCACACGCGATCACGCGTCACACAAATACAAACGCGCGTGCAATCATCAGGCAGCATATTATTATCCCGAAACCGTAATTTCGGTCTCGTTTCTCGAGAGGCGAGAGAGAGGAACCCGCCTCGTCGGAAACAAGAGTGGCCACTCGAGCAATTTGCCCGTTTATCGACGAATTCGGGGGCACACCCGCTCTCTCGATTTCACGGACGGGAGGGTTCCTCGTCGCACGTCGGTCGATAGACGAAAGGGACCGCGGGGACCCGGCTCCTTGACCTGCTGCTCCCTTTGGACGCGGGTGGAACCTCCGAATCTCGGACGGCGTCCCCTCGAATTTCGAATTTCGAACGAAGCGAGTCGAGAAATAAACGACTGATAACTTTCGAAGGGCGCGTACGAGCCCGATAGCGTGGAACGGGGAGTCCTCGCGAGGGAGGAAAAAAACGGACGGACTCACCTGAAGCTCCCGGCAGCGTCTCGGGGTGAAGCGGAAGAGCGCCATCCTGAATCCTGGAATTAATGGGAATTAATCCTCTGCACGCGGAATCTCTTCTCCGTCCACTCGACTCGATTCGATCTGACTCGATCGCCTGGTCTGACTAATCGACCGATCCGCACAATGCTACGACGCCCCCAGCTCCGACACGACTGACTCGGGTCGCGCCGCTTTCACCGCTACTACTGCCTCGCGGCGCGCGCATGCGCCGCTTTCACCGCGGCTGCTCCGCGCCGCGCACATGCGCGCGTCCCTCAGGCCCGGCCGCGCGCGCGCACGGCGCCCTGTCATCTGTCATCCGTGACGTAACGTGACGTTTCTAATTCATTTATGTTTTTATCTTAAATTTATTTATTATATTTTTATCTTATTATTGTTATTATATTTTTATCTTAAATTTGTTTTGCACCCACTTGCGTGTGCGACTCCTCTTTGACGCTTAATATAGTAAATTCGTATGCTATTGATTAAAAAACATCATATATGTAGTTTAAAAAATTGTAACCGGGTTAAATGAAAAATTATGATAAGTTAATAAAATTTTAAAAAAATAAACAAATTTAAAAAATGCAATTATATCGCTTTTATTTTATCTACTACGAAAATTGATTTGAATATATAATTATCTTTCTAATTTGATTAATATATTTATATAATATTCCTGTGAATTATAAATTGATCGACGAATTTCCTAAGCATTTTCCGATTTGGGGAAATTTATTCGGCTGCATATTTCCTCTACTAACGATAATCTATAAAAATAAAATAAAATACTATAAAATATAAGAAAAATAATCTTTTGATTTAATGAGCATTGTTATTGATATTTTTCACCTGTTCAATGTAAATAGATGAAAGCCACGTGTAGTTCCGCTTTTAATTATATCCGTAATTATTCGCACGGTCAAGTCAATTATAAATTTTCTCGTCGCTTGATCATCGTCCTTTATTCGCGCCAAATCATTTTTAATTTCCATCGGGACGTCAAGCCTGCAAATATCTGCCATCTTCTCCAAATACTTGTAACTCGTTGGCGCGAAAATTCCGGGAAGGATTGGAACTTGAATTCCAATCTTTCGACAATCTTTCACGAAGTTGATAAAAATTTCAGACTCGAAGCATATTTGCGTTATGATAAAATCTGCGCCCGCCTCTACCTGCAATTTTTTAATTTTTAATTATTTTTATAATTAAAATTTTTAATTTTTTTTTTTATTCTACAAAATATATATCGCAAAATTACGATTGCAATATATATATATATATATATATATATATATATATATATATATAATTAATTATTACGGTGTCGATTATTACTTTCGCCTTTAAATAATACAAGTCGAATTCCTTTGAGACTGATTTCGGATGCATTTGTGGATAGCCTGCCACACATATGCAAAACGTATCGCCAAATTGTTCCCTTATGAAAGCAACCAAATCCACTGCATATTTGAAGTCGCCGTCTTCCGATAATAACTCTGTAATTCGATTCGCAAACAAATGTATTTTTCCCGTTATATATAACACTTGTGACATTGAATTTCAAGGACGCATCTTATCGCGAATCATTTGAGAGATTACACAAACAATCCTCGATTTTATCAGAGAACATGTCGTAAAAATTACTGATATATATATAAATTAGAATGTGTGATAATTATAGGTATATTTTAGATAGGAAGAATTTTTCCACAAATTTGGAATTTAATTTTTGCTGACGAGAGGATTGAAGAAGTTGAATGAGTAAAGATTTTGAAAATTACCTCCTTGTAGCGCAAATATATTAATTATTCCAAAGGCAAGGGCTTTCTTTAAGATACAAACGACTTCGTCGCGCTTTAAACCCTTAGCTGCTAGATGTAAAAGAGTATTAGATGGAAAGTTCTCTACCAGCTCTAAAGGCAAATAGCTATCATTGCTAAAAACTCCTTCTTCCTTATGCCATGTTAACGCATAAAAAAGAGGCGAGTACTTATCCATGCCCAAGAGAAGTCTGATATACATTTAAAACATACATTATACATATATTTCCTGTCTTATATTATTTTACAGGAAAATAAATATTTTTATAAATTAAATTTAATTATTAATATTATTATTCAATTAAATTTAAAAATAAATTAAATTATAAATATTTTTTATTAAGAAAATCCAAGATCAATTATGTAATAGTTTCAATTTAAAAAAATATCAAAAACTCTACTACAAGCTCTATATTTAAAATCTCATATTAAAAAAAATTTACTTCTCATATAAATTTTCTAATTATTAAATTATATTAAATTAGTATTATATAATATAACTATAGTTGTGTGGCTCTAGTTTGGTCTTGGTGTACAAACCTCTGATAAAATGCTTTAGATTTCCTCCCAGAAACAATTTCAAAACTGTAAAATATTTCACTTTTAGTAATTTTATCTTTTATGGATTGTCGCAGGTCCGTGAACTGGAGGGAACGATTTTTAATAAGAGAATCGTATGTAGGAGAATCGTCCTCACTCTCATTTTTATCAGTGTTACTCCTCTCGCACAGATTCTCCTCAAAAATGAACTTTCTCATGATAGATTAAAAAAGAGAATCAAATGGATATGTTGATACTCTTATTTCTCAATCCGTACTAACAGTTGTTATCAAATTATGTAATGTATGGGACAAAAATATCTATGATATAATGTGTGCTTACATAATCTCTAACTGAAAGAAGAGAAATATTGATAAACCTTTGGTGTCACATAATTGGTTGTTATACATACATTTATTAATAATAAATATCCAAAACAATATATAAGATATCTGGCATATATTTGAGTATGTGACTCTACTTTGACATTGTAGTAGATTGAAAATAATATAGGTCGAATTTTGGAATGTCGTAAGAATGATTAAAAATTGAAAAATATTTAAAAATTGAAAAAAAATTTTTAATGACCCTAATGCACGTGGATCATTATTCGATATTCTATTACAGAATATTCTCGACAATAATTAAGATATACAGATTCCTCCAAGTAATATTTAAACTAGTAAATCCTATATACATTCCTTCATATAAAAATAAATTTTATATGTATAATTACGATTTAATTCCTCAAGTACAATTCCCTGCAAACTTCGGTAATGGGTATATCAGAGACAGCCGGTATTCCGCCTGGAGCAGTCTCAGTTCTCTGCAGAGCAAATTTATCCGTGATGGTGCGTATGTCATCGATATCCGGAGTTATCGACATATTGATAGCCGGATAAATCAGGAACGCGAATGTAGCGAGGGCGGTCAACGCCCATATGGGAATCGCGACCGCCCAATACTTTGACGGCAAGTACGTCAGGCCGAAGTAATCGTGCAGCACTTCGTCCGGCACCATTGCCCATATCACGTACAAAAGGAAAATCATGTTCGCCCCTATGTACATGGCATATCCGTACACAGCTCTGGGACCATAAGGCGCAGGGGTGTGCTCCATAATGCCCGAGTGTCTTGCACAACATTAACCACGAGATATAATTGATAAAAAAAAATTTATATTATATATTAGTCGTGATAGTGACTGTACGTTGGTTCAGGCGGGCCAAATTGTTGGATGGTTTCCGTGACTAGTAGTAGACTGTCGAAGAAGGCTCCAAGTCCCACGCGTACCTTGCGTGCTTCCTTCCCACTGAATGATCTGCAAAATGAGAAATGTTAGCACAGCGACATACAATTATACAGAAATATTTATACAGAAATTATTACAGAAATTATTATGCAGAATTATTCTGTACACTTACACTTCCAGGATATTATTATTTAACACAAGCTTCTTCGTGACTCCGCTTCTTGGCGGCTCGTCGTCAACTCGAAGCACTTGATACGCGATCTCTGCTTCTCGGGGGCTTGGAAAAGGCACAGATAGATCTCTGAGCAGTGTTAAGGTTTCCAACTAGAGATGGTACAAGTAGGGTAGCAAGTTTCGCTATCGAAGGAAGATTATTTGTAAAATAAGGATACACCTTGAGATCACTCATGGCATTCTAAGATAGAAGACACTTGAAATTTTAACTTCCGCTTTGCTATTCTGCAACATATATCAAAGCAATATAAATATACTGTCAATATTCTAAATATATTAATAAAATACTATAAAATATTAATAACATTAATAAAATACTATTAATAAGATATTAATAAAATAATATTAGTAATATTAATAAAATATTAATAAAATACTATAAAATATTAATATAAAATACTAAATAATAAAAATAAAAATATTAAAAATATTAATAAAATTATATATTAATGTTGGACATGTTTAATAAAATACTATAAAATATTAATATATATTAATAAAATACTAATAAAAATATTAATATAAAATACTAAATAATAAAAATAAAAATATTAAAAACATTAATAAAATTATATAAATTAATGTTGGACATGTTTACACACATACACACACACACACACACACACACACATATACATATATATATATAAATACAAAATATTAATTAAATTAAATTATTATATTTATATAATTATTTATATAATTAAAATTAAAATATTTTTTATTATAACAGATAACCTAGAACGGAGCACGAGATAAATCGACTTACGTAACGTGTAATCAATCAATTTATCTAAATAATAATAAAATCGTCCGATATTTACGTAATAATTAGCACGTTGGATAAAACGTGTTGCTGCTTAATTGCTCCCAGGATCGATGGTTATAATCGACTTTTCCTATGCGAGAGCGCGTGTAGGCGTTGCTGACGGGCTGGCACATTGCTGACATCGCAAACGTCACTTTTATGGCCCTGTGCAGCATAAACATTCCATTAGAAAGAAAGGAGCAGGAAGGAGATTGCATTTATCGAGATTTCGTCTTCGGAATCTTCCACAGGTGAGTAATGCATTCCTCGAGACTCACCTCACTCACTGGACCTTGAATCCTTTCTTTGTTCCAGGTTACGATTGACAGCTGTGAGTTTATTTATCATTTATTGTCGTCTCTTATCAATCCATGAGTATCACTCGCAATGATGAGTATTACACGGAACGTCGTCAACGTAATACTCTACGCAGTATGACGAATGATTTACCAGGAAATTGTGCACGAGAAGGTCTACAGGCTGTTATCTGCAAATTTAGATAATTAGTATACAATTTTTTAATTATTTATTTTTTAATTAATTATTATTTTTTTAATTATTTTCCAACATCATTATATGTGTTGAATATATTACAGAGAGATGGAAGCATTTTTTAAGCACAACATTGTGTAAGATACATATTTACGCACTAAAGAGTAAAATACAGAAAGCAGGGCTTTGCTGTTTAGCATAATATTATTAATACTCAACACATGACAAGTGATTGAAAATCCAAAGAAATCATTGAAGGAAGTAATAAATATGAATGGGCCCACAAGAGACTTGCCATGGGGCTTCCAAGCCTTGAAGTACATGTTCAACAGTTGCTGTGAGCATCGTCGCATCAATCGGATGGCATGGCATCAAGGAGGGATACTAGCGATTACTTACTTAGCGTACACTTGTTACCACATGACTCGGAAGCCAATATCTGTGGTGAAGAGTGTCCTGACTCACAATTGCAGTAATTTGTCGCCACCTCCGGATATTTCTGTGAATGACAGCAACCGTGACACTTGGTGCGATTGGGCTCCATTTGGTAAAGACAGATATAAATGTTAAAATAAATATTAATATAATATTATTATAATTAATATATCATAATTAAAATAATTATAATTATTCATAATTAAAATTAAAATAATTATAATATTCATAATTAATATATCATAATTAATAGCTCAAAATAATGTAGCGATATCCATTAGTTATGTTCTTATATATTAGACTGCGACATAAAAATTCAATATTATTTTTTTAGATACTGAGGATGCACCAGCATTGCTTGGTATGTTGGACTCAGCGTTTCTGTTCACCTACGCAGTAGCTATGTTTTTCAGGTAAATATCCTCCTGGACAAAATTAACGCATAATTTTTTTTTCACTTTTTCTTTAAAAGCTGATATTTAAATTTTAAAGAAAAAGTGAAAAGGAATTATGCATTAATTTTGTTCAGGAGTATACTTTGGAAAAAATTAGCTTATTCATTTACCATACTGCAGAAACATTTTGTGTAACGATGATTTTCTTTTCTCTACACAGTGGATTTATAGCGGAGAGAACGAATCTGCGATACTTTCTCTCCTTTGGGATGCTCGCGTCAGGCATATCGTGCTACTTGTTTGGAATCGCTAAATCATACAATATCCACAATTTGTGGTACTTTATTTTCGTGCAGGTGAGTATCAGATTGATAAGACATATTGGTGCCTGTTTCCATTTATGAATAGCCCCAATTTAAATATTTTTAAACTGAGAAATCTTATTTCTTTTTCTATCATTTCAAAAAATTATCCCAATATATATATATATATATATATATATATATATATATATATTACCACTTATAGAAATCAAACCATTTATTTTATATTTATTAATTTTAATCTCTTCTTATATTTCCACATTTAAAATATTAATAAATTTAAATTTTAAAATTATTTTAACTTACTCATCAATTAATCAAACAAGATAAATACTCCTTTTAATTACATTTAAAAATATTCTTTGATTTTTATATTTTATTATTTATTCTATTATCCTCTTAATAATTAATATAATATTTCAATTTTTAAAATTATCATATAATTTTTTCTATAATATTCAATCCTTAAATTTTCAATTAATTTACATATTTTTTATTTTTCAACATAACAAGTTTATCTCCTTTATCCTTCTTTTTCGTAAAATGATTTAGAATTTTTACTTTTATATTTAATTCCTCTAATCTATTTTTAATTATTATTACATTAATTAATTATTTCATTTTAATTTATATTTATATTAATATAATAATACTCTTAATATTTTTTTTATTCTATAAAATCTAAATTATTTTCTATAGTTAATTATCCCTTTAAAAAATTTTATTTTATTTTATTTATCAGATTTTTCTTATCATTAATAATAATTGTAATTTAAATTAAAGATTTTAAGTTATTTCATGTGGGTTCCTTCCTTATTCTCATTTTCTTTTTTTTACACATGATTACAGGCAATAGGTGGAGTCTTTCAAACTTCTGGTTGGCCTGGTGTGGTAACAGTTGTGGGGAATTGGTTTGGAAAAAGCAAACGTGGCTTGATCTACGGAATATGGAACTCTCATACATCTTTGGGAAACATATTAGGCAGTTTAATCGCGGCCACGTACGTTGAATCCGACTGGAGTCTGAGTTTCATAGTGCCTGGCCTAATAATGGGAATAATAGGATTCCTCGTCTTCCTGTTCTTAATACCGAATCCTATCGACATAGGATGTAGTCCGCCCGCTGCTCTCGGATATCGGAAGATCGACAACAGTTCAGACGATGATCAGACTGACATAGCTTCCGATACTCATAATATCAACGAGGATGTAAGTAGCTAGTTGACAATATATTCCTATCTTTTCATTCAGTAAATAGCATGCGTATAACAGCTTTTAAGTTTAGCAGAAATTAAAAAAATTATAACAATCGTTAATTAACACTAGTAATGCATGTTTATTGAATTACAAGCATGTTTTTCTGTTTTCTATGTTTCTGAGATTTTACTTTCTGTCTTTCTTTCAGTTTCTCTAGTTTTTAATAGGCAAGATGTTTAAGTTTAATTATTTTTCGTATAATTATAGTTTGCACTCATAATAAATAATCATCTACTGTGTATTACTAGCGTCTCACCTATCGCTGTGTCTACCGTGAACAACTGCCTATCAACGTAAGTGCATGCCACTCTTTCATAGCTAGTACTATATTCTCACAAACCCTTCAAATAATGCATGTATGATGTTAGGCATATTTATTTTTTATTTGCAAACTTTTGCTATGCAAAAATATGTATCACATGCAGCAATACATTAATATACAGAGCGGACCAAAAGTCTGGATACAGTCAAATATCTCGTGTAGAATGTATTTTAGAACAAAATACTTTAGACAAAAGTTGTAAGAATTAAAAAGATGTATTTAACTGTAATATCTATTTGACATTGAGTGGCGTCACCAATGTCAGGGCAAGATCAAGAAAACACATAGTTACTTTTAAGAAAAAATATTTAATTGTTAATGCAAATTACATATTTTTTCTTCGAAATAACTATGTGTTTTCTTTACACCAATTGATTCCTCTCATTATTTTGCACATAAAAGTATTAAGGTAAGATAATCGGAAAATGAATATTTTACAAGATATTTTACGATATTTTATGTAAAATTAAGAAATGATTTCAAGCCTTATAACTCGAAAATCACTTCATGGAAAAATAATTTATTATAGTGTTTTGGAAAGCTCTCGAGGTAAGTTACAAGAATATGCAATGAAAAATAGGGGGTTCCATTAAAAAAATTCAAGTTGACTTTGCCCTAAGCTTGGCGACGCCACTCAATGTCAAGTGGATATTACAGTTAAATACATCTTTTTAATCCTTACAACTTTTGTCTAAAGCATTTTGTTCTAAAAATGCATTCTATACGAGATATTCGACTGTATCTAAACTTTTGGTCCCTGTATATATATATAATATTAATTATATTAATTATGTGTATATATATATATATAATTTATATGATTTTTTTTAAAGAGTTCAGTCGTTGAGCGATCCGAGACCAGCCCGATGCTATCAGGACACCGTCGTATCTATTGTGCACCTCGCAATAACGCGATTGGCTTCATGAGAGCCATGAAGATACCCGGTGTCATCGAATATTCCTTATCCTTGTTCTTCGCCAAGCTCGTTAGTTATACATTCCTGTACTGGTTACCATTGTACATTGAGGCTTCAAGTTGGTATCACGGAAACATTATTCTTCCATTAACAATGTAATTTCAGCTCATAATTTTCTTCAATTCTTTTGTAGCTAGTTACGGTGCAACCATGAGCGCAAACTTGTCCACTCTGTTCGACATAGGCGGTATAATAGGCGCCATAGCAGCTGGTGTTCTTTCAGACTCCAGCGGCATGAGTGCTGTGACATGTACTGTGATGTTTGGATTCGCATGTCCTGCGGTAAATATGATTTTACTTGCGAACAATGACAGAGTGAATAGTGAAATGAGCAAAATCCCCTGTAAAAGTCTAAGTAATTTTGCCATGTTTCTTTAAAAGCCACAAAATATTAATTAATATATTAATGTGTGCTATAATATAAGCTAAAAAGGTCAGATTACTTAATCATTGCTTGTAAAATTTTCTAAATTTTTATTAAATACTATTGTTGAGCTTTTTGTTGCGCTCTGATTTCACTAAACACTATACAGAACATAATTGTAAACATGAGACTAATTTTCTTAATGTGATATTCCAGTTATTTTTATACAATTATGTTGGAAACACCACTCTAGGCGTCAACATAGTATTACTATTAATAGCTGGAATACTAGTGAATGGTCCTTATGCCTTGATAACGACCGCTGTGTCAGCCGAATTAGGAACTCATCCTAACTTGGGAGAAAACTCAAAGGCGTTAGCTACAGTGACAGCCATCATTGACGGAACTGGCAGCATTGGTGCTGCGGTTGGTCCTCTATTAGCAGGTTTAGTATCTCGATGGGCTAAATGGAACAATGTGTTTCATATGCTTATGACCGCAGACTTGCTAGCCCTATTGGTGAGTCTATTTTTTTCTTGTACAAAGATCAAAGTTTGGACTATGTAAATAGTATCTTACTGTATTTTATCATGTTTCAGTTTTTGTCCAGATTAGTTTATCGAGAAGTAAAATTACACAGGCAGAGACGAAGAGTTATACAAATGTAGACTTTTAAATAGAACTTGTTAAAGCAAATTTTTACCTAAATATGGATTTCGCGCATACATCCTGGATCTATGTACTTATAATCTCGCTCATATTCTCTTAAAAGTGTACAAAAATGTTGTACAGCATTCCCAAAAAACAAATGAAATTGAAACATACAAGATATTTAAAAATGTACAAAAAATAAATATATTTTTTTACAGTATTTTGTTGCAATTGCACCGTTGCAATATAAATGTGAATCATTTTAAAGGAATATAATAGCTACCACTAGATGAAATTACTAGAAGATCTTTATTGAGATCGATATTTCTTAATAATCTCATATATGTGTTAAAAAAAATTCTACTTGTAAAATATGAAATGTTGCATGAATTTATAATTATAATAATTACGTAAAAGATTAATATACAATGATTATTTAATATACATGTTTGCAATAAATTATTGTATACCAACAAAGTATCGACATTAAAGGAATTCAAGGAATACCAGTGGGAATTATATAGCTGATAGCATCGGCAAAGTCACCCCACACAGCTCTTTGAGTTTGAAAGGTAATTATCCAAGCTAATAAAGCGGCTGTCCAAATAGTTGCTCCTACGGCGGAGAAAATTACATCTGAAAAAAATACAAATGTGTGTTTTTATAAAAGGAGAATCTAAAACATATCTCATAATATATTTTTCAAATTAACTGACACCAACATTTCTTAATTTGCTTCTGTTCCTCGTAAGGCGATGCGACAAACGCCTCCTTTGAGAACCAAATTGCGTTCACAGCCCAAAGAAACGGCAGCAGTGCAAAACCACCTGTAACAAAGAAAGCACCTGATGAGCTGCGAGAACAATGGACCTTGTTCTTCTAATATTTACTTAAATTAATAACATTTTTAGTACTTTTTTTTGGAGAGAAAGGAAGAAGAAACGTGAAGCAAACTTGAGAAAAATTAAATTAAAAATTAAATTAAAATTAAATTAAAAATAAAATTAAATTAAAATAAAATTAAAATAATGTTAATTCCAAACTGAGTATATTTTTAAAAGACAAATGCTGGAGTAGATATTGTGATATCAACACAAATTACACATACCACGAAAATACCATTTGCAAAGGTGCAATTTTTTTTCGTTCGATACTTTGGATAAATCCATCTCGTTAGCAAACCCTGATGTCTCTTAACTTAACTTATGCTTCTGTCAAGTGGATTTTTCGATGCCACCTCACGTCACTGTATCTTTTCTGGCTTTCCAATCAAATTAGTCACATTGAATCGTGTATAATTGTAATCGTGATTCCCAAACCATGCTTATACAAATATTCTGAATAAACAAGAAAAAAAACCACGAATGACAGATCCCAACATCTCGTCGCACTCCCAAGATGGCGTTGCCGTCGCGTTCATAGACGTAAAAAAGACATAGATAGATCGCTCTCCCATTGTATATCCACCAATGAAATGAAAGATACCCTTCAGGTGAAAAAGGATAGAATAATTTATAGGTTAGGTTAAATCATGTCCTTTTCTAACAAGCTTAAATAGATTCGCGCTTTTTTTTATAAAAAAAAAAAGAAGAAAGGCTAAAGGCGATTAAAAAATATGTTTGAGAATTTTTTTTTAAATGTAACAATTTTTTTTCTACAAATAAATTTTTATTCAAAAGTACAAATATTAATGTTATTTTTTATTATATTGTTTTTTAAATAAAATAATTTTTTTTAAATAAAAATTTTTTTATATAAGATTATATTTTTTTTAAATAAAATATTAAAAAATGTCAAAATTATAATTATTCTTTCGGATATTGTTTCTTAAAAAACGTTGCGCGGTGCTATTTTGATTCATCTGAAAAATATCAAAAATTCGATAAACTGTAGTTAAGGATGTTTTATATGTACAATCCCAGCAAAAAGTAGCTGAAAATCAATATTGACAAATATTTTTGGTGTATTTTCAGTATGAGAAATTGCGTGGAACATTGCAATTTGATGTTAGCTACAGAGATGTATTTTTTAATATTTATTACGTTTTTACTGAAATATTCTGAATTTTGTTAATCAAAATGATTAACTTTTAGCAGAGAATTTTGCCTTGTAACAGATACATTATATGTACATTAATAAATTCCTACCATACAATTATTTATTAACAATAAAATTCTTCTTATAAAAATAAAGAAATTCAATCCCATTTAATTCCTAGTTCTAGTATCCTAGTACTTTTCCGAAATTTCGACTGCCATGCGACAGCACCCTTAGGCCCATTCCAATAGTGGCCAGTTAACTAGTAGTTAAGTAGTGATGTCAACCACTGAAACAAAATTCGGTAAGCTAGGTTAGATTTTGACAAGCAGTTGCATTTTCACAAAATATACATAAGTGAAATATTGAAAATTTATAAATTTTGTAAATAAATGTATATATATTTTCAATATTTCACTTATGTATATTTTGCGAAAATGCCACTGTTGGAACGGGCCTTAATCCTCCTGTCATTGTAGACGACGCTTTAAAGAGAGAGAGAGAGAGAGCGAGCGAGAGATAACCCGCCAAATATCGCCGTCTCGCTCGTCGCGTCGCGCGCCCTCTCGCGAGCGCCCGACGCGGCTCGCGCGTCCGCGGACGCGCGCTCCCATTGGCTGCGGCCGGGGTCACGTGGCCCCGGCCCACGTGACCCGCGGGACGCCCGAGTCCCCGCTCGGGTCGCCCTGGGTCGCCCAGGCCAGCCATTTTGCACGGTAATATGGCGTCGCCGCCGGAGATTAATATGGCGTCCTCCGACATAATAACCGAGGTGGAGATACAACCGGACATCCAGGAGGTCGAGATAGAGGCGATCCCGGTGGAGATACCGTGCGAGACCGTGGAGACGACGATCGAGGGCGAGGACGGGCAGCCGATGATAGCGCTGCAGCCGCTGCCGGAGCCCGGGCGCGAGGAAATCATACTCCAGACCCAGGAGGAGATCGTCGGCGGGGACTCGCTCAGCGTTTACGACCAGATCCCGGTGCCGGAGAACGACATTTATGTCGAGTCGAGCCCCGGGCCGTCGCGGAAGGCCACGAAGAAGGCGCGCAAGAGCGGGGGGGCGCGTTTCCGCGCGTCTGACCACGCGATCTTCGGCGAGATGGCCACGGAGACCAAGGCTAGGAAGTGGGAGCAGAAGCAGGTGCAGATCAAGACGCTCGAGGGCGAGTTCTCGGTAACGATGTGGGCGTCCGGCACGGACGACGGTGAGTATTCGGCCACGTACCGGGTGTTCCTTTCCGAAGGGATCTCCGTCCTTCTGTTTCGCGATTCTCGAGGGTCTCTTTCGCTCTCTCTCTCTCTCTCTCTTTCGCTCTTTGTCTCTCTCTCTCTCTTTCTCTTTCTCTCCTCGTTCCTCGCTTCTACCGGTTGTCGCGTTGTATCCACGGGCGGGTACGCACTTCCGGTACGATACCGCGATCGATACCGCGTCGCTCGCGTGCTCGGGACGGGAAGCGTCGAGCGGAAAATCGCCGACCTGGATCGCCGGCCGCGCGTCCGACCGGCTTTGACAGGTCGCCCTGTTTGTTTTGATTCGTCCGAACGCCATTACTCTCGCTACGGGGGCAGCCATATTTTGAAAATGGCCTCTTTTACGGCGAGCCGAGCTGCCCGCCGCCGAATAATGGCGGAGCCGTCCGCGGAGGCGCGAGCGACGCGAGCTGTCAACGAGTTTTTGACGTTTCGATTTTTTTTTCTCTCGTTTTTTCTGGACGGGAAGGAGAGAGAGAGAGAGAGGGAGAGGAGGTTGCGATTTTATTGGAAAAAAATATGCCGTAAATTTCGACAGTTCGAAGCGCACGGATAGGAATCGAGTCCGGGCGAAGTGTGGGAGCAACGCTTCGGCTTCTGACGTCATGAGGGATCCATGCTGCACCGCGGCGTATATACCGGGTGCGCCAAAAGCTCGAAGCGCGTTCATGACATCGGTACAGTTTGAACGATTGAAATGATTAATTAATACTATCTCTGTTCAGTTTTTATCCCCCTGTTTTACGTTGGACAAGTAGTGTGCTGTTTCTTGGATAAAACAGTCTTCGAGTAAATTATTGTCCCCTGTAATTTCGCGGGGAGAAAGCTGAGTGATGTTGAAGACGTGTAACGGGTGTTCGTTAAAACGCTCAGCACTGAATTTTTATTTTATCCCTTAAAAAAATATTTAAAAAGTTTGCACTATAAAAGACATGAAGAGATGATGTCAGAATGTATCCAAAGCTATATTTCATGATTTCGATTTCGTCAAGTTTGCTATTTCAATTTTTAAAAAATAGAAATAAATTTCAAACGTTACAAAGATACATTTTCTCCAGCTTTTTTTATATCAAAAATATATATATAATTATATTGATATATATAACTAAAAAAAGAATTTAGCAACAAGAGAATTTAAAGACAAAATAATTTCAAAAAATTGAAAAAAATAGGCAGTAAGAATCAACGTGTTAAAATTGAAAGATTTATATAAATATTTAAATTTCTGTTCAAGCCTTAATTGAAACTAAAACCTGTGTTACTATTAAAATAACACTTTATTAATACCTGGCCAGGATGTTTCAGATGAAGAACACTCAGTATGTGAATTCTTATTTTATCCCTTAAAAAATGTTTAAAAAGCTATTTCAATTTTTAAAAAATAGAAATAAATTTCAAACGTTACAAAGATTTTCTCCAGCTTTCTTTTCTTTATATCAAAAAAATATATATATAACTATATTGATATATATAACTAAAAAAAGAATCTATAGCAACAAGAGAATTTAAAGACAAAATTAATAAGGTTCTAATAATTTCAAAAAATTGAAAAAAAAATAGGCAATAAGAGTCAACGTATCAAAATTAAAAGATTTATATAAATATTTAAATTTCTGTTCAAGCCTTAATTGAAACTAAAACCTGTATTACTATTAAAATAACACTTTACTAATGCCTGACCTGGATGTTTCAGATGAAGGTTCGAACCCAGAGCCGGATCCGGATTACACAGATTACATGACAAGCAAGACCAACGCCAAATTCAACTCAAACAGCTCGGTGTCGGATGGGATGCCGGGATTAGATCTCTCGGATCCAAAACAGCTGGCGGAGTTCGCGCGACCAGGTCACAAGCTGAAGGTGCGCAAGCCGCAGGTGATGGACGGCGTAGAACGCACGATCGCCTGTCCGCACAAGGGATGCACCAAGATGTTTCGAGACAACAGCGCGATGCGCAAACACCTGCACACGCACGGGCCACGGGTGCACGTGTGCGCCGAGTGCGGCAAAGCGTTCGTCGAAAGTTCCAAGCTCAAGCGGCACCAACTCGTCCACACAGGCGAGAAACCGTTTCAGTGTACGTTCGAGGGATGCGGGAAGAGGTTCAGTCTCGACTTCAATCTACGCACGCACGTGAGAATCCATACCGGCGACCGGCCGTACGTCTGTCCCTTCGACGGATGCAGTAAAAAGTTCGCACAATCGACGAACCTCAAGTCACACATATTGACTCACGCGAAAGCCAAGTAAGTTGTCGAGATTTCACGCGAGATGCGAGGACGTTTGAAGCTTTTTATCTCGAGAAACTACTCAAAGAAATTAGAAAATAATTATTTAAAATAGAAAAAAAGAAACCTCATCGTCTAATCGAGTATTATCGAATGATTCCAGGTCAAGGAACGCGATTGGGAGACAAGTACAACAAATTCAACTTCAGCAGCCTCAATACGTCCAAGTTGAAGTTGCAGATGTGGACAATCAACAGTTCATTGTCTACGCCGATTAGCCCCCTTAAATATTGATCTCGTGTACCCTTCGCTACTGAACATTATTACTGAAATATCGTAATCATTAATTATTAATCTAAACAGTGTAAATATTTTCACGATTTGTGCAAGCGATATCATGGCAGATGACACAGGCAGCCAAGCATCTGCCTTAAGAGAATTAATGGAAAGATTGATTCATGTGGAATTAATACCTCCGTGCTTAGATACGAATTATTTCAAGAATATCTGGAGCACTATATATATATATACAGGGTGTTTCTAAAACTATGTCGGAGATTTTAAGGGCGTATTCTAAGGATCAAAATAAGAAAAAAAGCTCATATAAACATGAGTCCAAAAATGCTTTTCCTCCGAGTTATAACCCCCTAAAGTTGAGGGAAAAAATCGAAAAATGTATTGTAACTCTTGGAGACTTTTTCATAGAACGTTAAAATTTTGCACAGCGTAATAATTAATAATGAGCTTCATTTTTATGTGGTTTCGACAATTTTTTCCCATGTTTATATGAATTTTTTCTTATTTTAACCCCTAGAACACGCCCTTAAAATTTCCGACATTATTTTAGAAACACCTTTTATATATATATAATCGTAAAAAAAAAAATGAGAAATGGCAAGTAAAGTTAAGTTATATTACTTAAGAAAGAAAGAAAAAAAGAAAAATATATATATATATATACACCTTCTAAAAGGTAACGCTAGACTGTGACGCGCACTGCTCAATCTCTTGCGAACAAGTGAAATCGAGTGCGCTCGCAAAACACCTAATACACATACACACATATACACAGACACTCGACTGTATATATCTATAAATATATATAAGTACAATTAAAATATTGTATACAGTATATTTTGGAGAAATTCAGATGAGAATAAACCACGAAGATGCATCTTTTTCCGTCGGACTCAATTGTACCAGTCTTAGTAATACTTACGACTTTTACACTGTATAATGCTAAAACTTGTTGATAAAAGTTATTAAAGACGATAAGTGGAAAGATATTACGCGTGTGTTGAAAAAAAAAAAAGAAAGAGAGAAATAAACCCGTAAATATCACGCGGATAATTTCTAACGAGATAAAAATTTCGTACTGTTTTTACTGTCGACTAAGAACGCGATGTTTAATAAATATATATATATATATATATATATAAATGACACATGTAAAACAGAAGTGATACATGTAAACAAAGATATGTCAGTGCATATCCGTGATATTTGCGAAAACATTGTAATGTATGCACGCACATCGATTGATCTAATTGATTTCGATGATACTTGAGAAATTTCGAGTAAGAAGCAATATATATAGTTATGAATATAGATTTAATATCGAATATAGAATTATAACGATTGTTTGGCGCGTGCGAATCTTTCATTGATCATAATATTATTCGCATATCACAATTTTTTATACACGCGACATATACTTATGATTCAATACGTATATACTAATCTGCACATATTAATTAGACGAAATTGGGATAATTTATTGAAATCATGTAAGAGAGAGAGAGAGAGAGAGAGAGAGAGTATATAGATTCTCTTTTTATAAAAAAGGAACTTTTATTTTACAGCTATATAAATATATATATATATATGATTCTTATAATAGTAATCTGTTAATATTCTCTTGTACAATCAAATGTCTTTTTATAAAAACGAGAAAAAAATTGGTTTTTTAAATTATTTGGCATTTGATACAAATCTATTTTACTAATAAGCTACCATTTTCTATTTGTTCCTTTCGACATTTCATTATATATTATATATATACATATTATATATATATATAATATTCTACCTCCTCTGTTTTCTTCTTGGTACGATATAAGCAACTACATTTTAGTGAATTACATTATATATTATGCGGCCTATATTTAATTAGTAGACATTGATGAGAAAACTAAAGTAAATGTAATAATTGTTCCAAAATATGCTTGAGTTTAAGATAAAAGATTCGAATAATTACTCGACAAGGGCGAAATTAAATTGTTACTCTGGAGGAAAATTCAGTAACGATGTGTGCGATTATAACAATGCTTTTCGCCAAAGATCACTCGTAATATATTCAATATACATGTGTATATATGTATATATATACACATATATTTTCGTTAAAATTATAAATATATAACTCTATGTACTGTTTTTTCACTATATATTTAAGTTCGATAATTTATATATGAAAATATAGCAAAACATGAAATATATATAATATACAGGGTGTCAGGGCAATCTCTTCCCCAAAAAAAAGCCTCTTGCAGCTTACCTCGAGAGCTTTTCAAAACACTACAAAAAAGTATTTTTTCATTGAGTACTTTTCGAGGCTTGAAATAATCTCTTAATTTTACATAAACCAGAAAATGTTTAGTAAAATTCATTTTTCGATTATCTTGCCTTAGTACTTTTATGTACAAAATAATGAGAGGAATCAATTGGTGTAAAGAAAACATAATTGTTTCGAAGAAAAAATATATAATTTGCAATTAACAATTAGATCGAAAAATGAATATTTTACTAGATATTTTATGGTTTTATGTAATTAAGAAATTATATTACTAGATATTTTATTGTTTTATGCAATTAAGAAATTATTTCAAGCCTCATAACTTGAAAAGTACTCGAAAAAAATACTTAGTTATAATGTTTTGAAAAGCTCTCAAGGTAAACTACAAGAACTGTTTTTTGGGAAGAGATTGCCCTGACACCCTGTATACATATTTCCATGTTTCTATTTTATTTGTTTCTGTCATTATCGCACAGAGGGAAACTGTATTTATTAATCATTCAGAAATGCTTAAATAACTAACCAGAAATTTATTACACAGCACTGAAGAATACTAATTCGAGATTACGCGTCTGTGTGTGTGTGTATATATATATATATAGATATATAAATATATTGATAAGACAAATATTGTCCGGCACACACAAGAAGACAAACGTCATTAACGTCCAATCTCTTTGTTAAATCAGGACATCAATATATTCGGAATGAATATTCGTATAAACATAATTCTCTACAATTAGTATCTTCCAGATCGACCGTCCCTACCTTTGTCGTCTCGCTTCCGACGATCCTTGGATCTCGATCGTCTGTCGCGTGATCGCGATCTGCGCTTACGATCTCGGCCGCGCGATCGCGATCGCGACCTGGATCGTCCCCTGCCGCTCTTTTTACGACTGTATAAGTAGCGACGCAGCTCACGCGAGATAGGCTTCAAATGCATAAAGTTGCAAAATCCAGATCGCGTGCACTCGCTGAAAGAATGAGAGAGAGATGATCAATTTTATCTTTTGTCACAAAAGTTTGTATAAGTAAATATAATGATAAATATAAGTTTGTATAAATAAGCTCATATATGTGTGTTACCCCATTTCGTATTGACGACAGCAAGCTTCTCTGAAGTCCGTTACCGGTGATAGTTCAGCATAGACAGGTCTGCCGCCAAACCAGCGATTGTTCAAGTCGTTTACAGCCCTTTCCGCATCTTCCTCTCTGCGAAACTTGATATAAACATTGCCCACTAAGTGATCGCCAAGATTGTCGCATACATTCATCTCCTCAATCTCGCCATACTTGTCTTCACATTCGACAAAAACGTCTTCAAAAAAGTTGTCATAATGCTCTTGCATTTCTTCATCCGATACATTTGCGACCACTGTAAAAGGATAAACGAGATAACTTTGTTATTCAATTTAAAGAGGCTTTAACAAAATATAAAGATATTTTTTGCATGAAAATTGATATCAAATTGAGTTATAAAATTCTAATTGACTTACAATGAGAGCCATCCGCGCTCTTGGCAGAGTTTTGAGGATTTACATACAGATTTTGAAGCAAACATGTCTGAAAAAGAAAGATATTTAAATATTAATATTAAAGAGATATCTTTAAAAATATTAGTCGCAATTGAATACAATTTATATTTCGTTGCGAAAACAAATGGAAATAAAAGTATAAAAAAATTAATTAAAATATAATAAAATAAAATATACAAAAATTAAATAAATATGATATTAATTAGATAAAATATGAAAAAATTAAATATAAAAAAATTATCAAAAAATTAATATAAATAAAATAGAAAAATACACACAAATTAAATAAATATAATATAAATAAAATAAAATATGAAAAAATTAATAAAACATTAATATAAATAAAATACAAAAATACACACAAATTAAATAAATATAATAAAAATTAAATAAAATATGAAAGAATTAAATATACAAAAATTAATAAAAAATTAATATAAATAAAATGCAAAAATACACAAGAATTAAATAAATATAATATAAATAAAATAAAATATAAAAAAATTAAATATACAAAAATTAATAAAAAATTAATTAAGAATTCAACAACTGCCATACAGGTATGCATACAGGTTAGGACTAAATTAATAGTGAGATAAAATACACTAATTATTTAAGGATCTACACACTTGGCTGAATGTGGGCTTGTTGTGGATACGCGAGCATCTGTCACCGTGACGACAGGCGCCGATTTTAAAGTAAAAGGAGCAGTTTACTCTGAAAAAAGAAAAGAACCAGTTGGCAAAATTTGCTCTCTCTCTCTCACACACACACACATAAATTCAACTTGCAACTTCGCTCAAATAATTCCCTTACTTGTCTTTCTCGGTTCCGAAGATAGACGCTAGATATTCGGCCATGACTTACGTCACCTCGACGTCCTAAAATGTCAATTGTTCTCTCCTCTCGAAATTATCAAAAAAATTACCGGCAGTGAATATTCCAATGCCGGAATATTGCGCGTCCACCATATACTAGTTCGCCGATCGCCGAGAAGGGAACTCGCTCGTCGAATAATATCGAAATGGCGGAGATGTCACGTCCATAGATGTGGGACTGCAAGATTGGCCTCCGCGGGAAGAAAAAAACGGCCAATTCGAAAATAATGGAAAACAACATGGCTGCCGTCAACCAATCGGAAAGCGCGATGAGAATTGTTGCTGTCATCGACAACTGTCATTATCTTTCTTGTTAAATCATATCGATGCTCTAAGCGAGATTTAATTTCAAAATTTTTCATGGAAAAATTTATTGACGCTTAATACTTATAATTAATCGAAGAACGCATTAGAGATCTCAATCAGAATAATTTTCACCGTACTTGGGAAATTCATTCGGAATACTTTTCATTGAACTTGGAAAATAATTTTTTTTCTACCATAGCAAGATTATATAAATATGTAATAATTATTAAATAATAATTATATAAATATATAAAATATATAAAAGTAATTATATAATAATTATATAAATATATAAAAATGAGTCTCAGCAAACATCAAATAACAGTTATATAACTTAGTTATAATTTCTCACTCGACAATATAACTGTTATATAACATGTATATATATTATATTATTGAGTGGAAAATTACAACTAATAATTATATAAATTACTTGATGTTTGGTTATTAGTAATTTAAATATGAAACAAATAATATATTAGTTATTGAATAAAAAAAATTGATCGCGTCCCTTATATAATTTCGTTATAAATATTCTTATATAATTTTATTATAAATGCTTGTGTATACATTTTACAAATTTGACTTTCGTGTGTCACGATAGAATAATAACAGCTTATATGTGAGAGATAAATTCCTTTCTCTTTCTTTTTTTTAAATATAATTATATAAATTTCATTGTAAACGATTATCTTTTCAGTCCCTAGTTTCAATCGCAAAAGAAAGAAATCGGAAAAAAAATCTAAAAAGTAATTTATTAATTACTTTTTATATCTCTGCTTTTACGAAAAAGAACTTTTGTAACTTGCCCACTCAATTTTATTGACAGATGTTTAATCTTCACTACATTTGCAGCTGGAATCATCTAATTGTAAACGATGGAAATTAAATTTATCACCAATTTCTGGCAGAAATTAAGATAGTCATCTAATATATAAAATATACATTAACTAAATTAATTAAATAAATTAACTTAATTTATAAATTAATATTATTTTTAAAGTAGATTAATTTAATTTATATAAAATAAATATATATACGTGTACGTGACAAATAGACAAATAGAAATATTTCTTATATGAAAACAACTCTTTATATGTATACCGTATTACAAATCCAAAAAGAGTGTAATATTATCAGACTTCTCGTTTTCGCAGTCTCAAATCCTTAAATGATTACGTTACAGTTGCATTTACACATTCGACATTTCGGTCCTCGCTTCCAATAAAAACATCGGTAATAAAGTCGATTAAATATTTTCCAAATACTTTCATGATACCTGGTGAAAATTTGCTCGGTGCATTTTGATGTGGGATGCCATGAAGCATTAAGAGAACATTTTTTTCCCAGATCATAATCAGAAAATATGAATTTATGACTAGCATAAACTGGTTAATATCGGAAAAACTAAATGGACAGTTTTGCTTTTTTTTTCATTACCTACAATTCATTGACAAATTCTCCAAGTTGTATGAGCTGAATTGCGAATAATGATCATGATGCTATTGTGTTCCTGGATTCCTATGCCACTCATCACAGTTAAAGAAAATTAAATTAGAAGACTCTGTCTCTCATCAAATTATTAATAACGACATATTATATCGCTGATGCCTTTATTGGAAATAAGCAACAAGGCAGAATTTAAAAAAAGGAACTTCTAAGCACGAAGACAAGTCGATTAATAATGCGATAATAGAGGGCAATCGATCAGTTGGTATCCAATGTATTTTCGAAAATATGGATACAGATGTGGAAGACAGATAAAGAGGCACAGGGATCTTGGAATGCAACAATATATATTGTTTTGATGTATAATCTAAGAGATAAATTGAGAATCTACAAGAAATAAATACAAAAATATACAAAGATTGTTTTAGTACATGAAAATTTAATGCATTTTTTCTGAATAAAACTATTCATTACGATGCGTCATATTTGCTTTTGCTCTCATATTATATCTCTATTCTGTCGATAGAGTACAAGAATCATTTTGATACAGTAAGAACATTTCGATACAGTGAGAATTATTCTTGAACGATAAGAGAAACAGCGATAGATCAGCCACAGAATATTTTTCTTTTCTATTGCGTTTCCTTGATATTTTTGAAATCGCGGTGAATTGGACAATAATCGTAAAAATTTACAGATCAGCAACGAGACAATCTATTATTACTGTGGCAATTTCGAAGTGTACATTAGTTAAATCCATATTAATGTGCACGAGATAATTTTGTACAGAATTGAAAAATGTCATGTTTTTCAATTAAAATTATTATACAATTTCAATTCAAATATTGCTTTTATAAAATAAGACAATACAAATTGTTTCTAAAATATATATAAATCACGTCATCTTATGTTCTATAAAATTGACAATTCATCTCTGACACTTTGGTTTATACATTTGCGTATTTTGAAATATCGCTAAATGAAAACATTAGGAAATGCGTTCGGTAACTTACATATATTTTATCGACTATTTGATTCGTTCGATATCGAGCGAACGACGATGAAAAAAAAGCGAATATTTCGAGACAGAAGTAAAATAAGATTCAGTAAAACATTTTTCCTTCCATCAAACCTGACAGACATAAGTTTCAGCACATTAGGTAATTCCTTCGTTAATTGTATCAAATAATTAATATAATTTTTTTCCTTCGATACTCGCATTTTTTATATTATACCTAGTCTCAACACTTTCGCAATTTTTCTTTCTATTTATATCTTTTCTTTCCTCTCATTTAACGCATTTTGCAAATATATAGATATATATAATTTTAGCAATATATTGATTCTATTAGATAACACTAATTATATAATGGACATTGTATCACATTAATTTCAATTTTTTTTAATGATTCGTCTGTTGATGCTGCTGCTCTTTACAGTTTATATCTGTCCGCTTCTTCCCCCTTCACATTTTTATATGAAAGCCCCTTATATAAAAAGATTTTATCACTGGAATGGGGCTTAAATCTTGTTTTCTCTCTCTTTTTTTTGTAAAATATTAAAATATTTACACAAATATTTCAAAACATGTATGTGTGATGTGATGAAATAGCAGAAATTAATATACGACGCGGTAATAATAACTTACTGGCGAAACAACTATTATTTAGCAAAAATGACTTACGTTCCACCAGTACGTATAATTTCAGCGGGCGATGCAAATAAAATATTTAAGGAAAATTATTACATGTTGTGATGTGTAAATCGATTTGTACTTCCGGTCAAACTTTGATTGTATTGAAGAAAACAAATCTTTCATGTTGCCAGACATTGGGAACTTCTACTGCTCCTGAAAATATCCAAAGAGAAAAGTTAAAAATAACTGTGATAAATTTATCCCAAAGATTTATAATTTACCAAGAAATCAATTCAATGATAAAATTTATAGAGAGAAATCGTACCTGGTAGAAATCGTAAACTGGCTATTTTAACATCTCTTATTTCCACGACGACGATATTTGCGATTTTTCCTGCTTAAAGAAGAATTAGAATAATTATTTTCTCGACATATTGTAACAATAATGTATAATCTTTTAATAGTAATCTAGAGAAATAAGTACTACCTGATCTTGTTCGGAGATGGAACTGATGGGACATGTTCCGCGATAACGGGTAGGTCGGAATAAAAGTTTTGAGATGGACGTAAAACACCTGCGGTTCGTGGCGACAATTTCCAAATTAATTTCTGCTTGTGAGTTTTGTTTGCTTGCTCCTGAGCGTTATATTTACTCAATATGGCGCTCACTGCCCCGTGAGTAGAGCAGAAACTCTCTTCTGAAATCTAATAAAGCACAAAAGGCAATAAATAAAATATTTAATATAAGACAGGATTATATATTTTCAAAAATATTTTTGCCTATCTTGTTTCGTTTCTCACTTTCTTACCTCGCTTTAAGAACTTTTTCATTTATTCAATTAATTCTAATTTTAATAAAGAGTAAGCAAAAATCATTTTTATCATACAATTTATTTAAATATGTATTTTTTTATCGAGAAAAGGATAGCTTTACACTATAACGCATCTGAATAATAACTGCTTATCGCGTTTAAATTATTAATAACCTTATGCATGTGTAAAAAAATAAGAAATAAAATAATAATAAAAAAATAAATAATAAATAAAATAATAATAAAAAAATAAATAATAATAATAAAAAAATAAATAAGCTTAAACATACAAAAAAAATTTAGTATGGACACTTACGTTGCATTTCTCTCGGAGTTTGGCAGCAAACTGCGTTAATTCATCTTTTAGCCTCTGATATGGCGGCGGAATAGGTACGTTGTGCGATAAATTACTGACAGTAGCTTCCGTATTCGCGGTCATCAGCCGATTAACAGAGGCATCCAAGTAACTGCAAAGTAACATCAATGCCACCTCGGACGGTTTGAGACTCGCGCAATTACCATCGCAAGCCACCATTTCCAATCTGAGAATTAATTCAGATTCCTAAAACGGAACAAACAATAGCTTTTGAGCGAAATTTTAAGGATTTTGTAAATTTGTAAATTTCATAAATTGAGTAAAAATTGATTTTTAGACCTTAATAAACATGCATTTTTCTCTGATAACATCAGTATAGGTAAGTACATCGAATTTTACTTGATGTTTAGTATCTCGAGGATCGTAACGTTTATTTTTTATCATTTAATAAAATAATATTTAATATAAATAATATTTATTATTAATAATTTAATTTAATTATTAATTTAATTTTTAATAATATTTAATTTACTTATTAATAAAATAATATTTAATATTAATTATTAATAATTTAATTAAATTATTAATTTAATTTACATTATTAATTTAATTTATAATTACAGGTAATTGAAAGGATGATAAATAATCGACCTACGTTGGTGATACTGGCATACACGTCACCGAGATGCAATTGTCTCGCCACAGCGTAGAACATGTTGTTGAAGAGTCGTAGAAAGGTGAGTGCAGTGATGGGTCGAGTACCGGGCGCCCGTTCCAACTTGTCCTGTATCAGCTGCGACATACGCCTGAGATCGTCGGCGGTACATCTACACTGTGAGATGGAGACCAGGTGGTCGGCGTCGAGGGGTTGCATCTGTTGAACAGCGGCCGTGTAAAAGGCGGATACGCTGATGCAAGCCATGTACTTTTGCTTCGCGTTCATTCTCGTCAAGAAACAGTCCATCAAATTGATCGCCATGAAGAATACATCCGATGACAAGTCGTACATTACTTTCAGGCATCTTAATATGTAAGCAGATTTATCCCGTGCAGCGATACTTATGTACTCGTTCTATAACATATAATTAAATGTTCATTATTAATCATCTAAATTAATTATAAATAAATCTATAAATCTTATAAATAATTTAAATAAATTATTAATAATCTAAATTAATTATAAATAAATCTATAAATCTTATAAATATTTTAGATAAATTATTAATAATCTAAATTAATTATAAATAAATCTATAAATCTTATAAATAATCTAAATAAATTACTAATAGTCTAAATAATCGTAATAAGATCTGTTAAATTATAAAAATTAAGAACCTTATTAAAAAATTTTAATTTGTATAAAATTTCTCGTGTTAAAATAACGATGATGGCAACTGAGTTTTGTCATGAAACCTTTAGTTCTATGGTGATATTGCTGAAGACAAAATTTTATTGTATTTTCTTCATCAGGTGAATGAGTAGAAATATTGTAACCAAGTCCCTTCTTGGCAATAGTTGAGGAATAAAGAACTGCTATATTTTCTTCATCAATTTGTCGGGTGTAAAGGCGACTCTCACCTGCACTCCCTCCCTTGTGGGAGGCAAATCATCGAGATTCGGCTGAAATTTAATCTCCTGGACGAGGTTCAAGACTAGGTCCTCTTGCAGTTCTTGCAGTTCGAGGGACGGGATTGCATCCGGTACAGGCAACCCCGTGTCCATTCCTGCGGTGTGTGACATCACAACAGCTAACTACACCGACGATCCGACTAGGACACCTGACAGCTAGGGATGTAGTATAGCTGATGAGACGAATCACACAAAACAAGAATGGCTCAGCTGGCTAGCCTTGTATCTGCAACATATCGTACCAAAATATTATTAATCATTAAATTATTAATAATTAATATTAAATATTATTTTATTAATACGTAAATTAAATATTAAATTAATAATTAAATTAAATTATTAATAATCAATATTAAATATTATTTTATTAATAAGTAAATTAAATATTATTAAAAATTAAATTATTAATAATCAATATTAAATATTATTTTATTAATAAGTAAATTAAATATAATTAAAAATTAAATTAATAATTAAATTAAATTATTAATGATTAATATTAGATATTATTTTATTAATAAGTAAATTAAATATTATTAATAATTAAATTATTAATAATTAATATTAAATATTATTTTATTAATAATTAAATTAAATATTATTAAAAATTAAATTAATAATTAAATTAATGTCACATGCACGACGATTTTTTATATTAGACATATATGTCTCAAGATCACGCCTACGTCATTAAAATAACTGCGCGTCACGCGTGAACAGATTTATATGATTATGCAAGGTCGAGACTGAGTGTGTTTTTTTCTTTTATCTGACTGATCGATGTAGACGACTAGTAAAGAAAATATTACGTGCTTCTTGGTGTAGGTCGACCCGAGTGGAAAGAGAGAGTTTCAAGCTTGCACGTTCCTCGACTTCTCTTTCACTCTCGCGACCATGGATGTAACAATGTGAAAGAATAAATAAATATACAAAGTGATCTAACCGAGAAAAAGGAGAAACGAGAAATCGACTTCACGGTCAAAATTAAAGTGCACTTTCAAAAACGAGGACAAAGATTGTATTGAGAAATAAACATAAAAAAACTACTTCGAGAGAATCTACGATGGATATTTAAATTTGAGATTATACATGTATACTAATGAAAGTTGATGTCCATTACAATTTCATAAAATTGAACATTAAAATTTAATAAATTTTTTTGTAAAAAAAATTTCGATATGATGTTAATTATAATATTATTTATTTATAATAGTATAATTTTATTACAATTTATATTGTAATTAATATTATATTTTACTACAATTTATATTATAATTTTATTACAATTTTATTACAATTTATTATATTATTATTATATTATTAATATATTATTGTTATATTATTGTTATATTATTATATTATTGTTATATTATTATATTATTATATATTATTATATTATTATTATATTATTATTACGTCTGTTATTACGATAATTGTAATTTTTCTCCTATTTAAATAAATTTAATGGAAATTTGTACGCGCAAGATTGAATCGAATAAATACGTAAAAAACGCAATTGCACGTAATTGAATTAATAATTGAAGTAATAATTTAACATACATGGTGATCGATATAAGATAAAAGATAATTTTCTAGTCGAGACTTAAAGGCGAGTAATTTCCAAATTAAGTATAATTATCGACGTTTATCGGTAATTTTATGTGAACTGACGTCACGGTGAAGATAAACGTTTCCTTTGTCGAAGGAAAACGTGTGTTATCGCTGAAAGTATATTTGCATCAAAATCATCGACCATGATCTCATGGTCACATTGCATCAGATCGATTCTCGATCGTGAATTGAACGAAGGAGACAATGAAATAATTATCTTTTCTGGAATAAACATTCGCGTGAGATAAAACAGCGAGATTTAAACGATGTAAATAAGAGCGAAATGTCGAAAACAAATTTTGAAAATATTTCCTTGTCGAATAATAATAAGATTTAATGCAATCTACTCTCTTTATATCTTTTCTGATATCGACATTGCAATAATTGCTGATTAAAACTCAAGGAGAAAAATGTTTTTAATTAGTTAAAATGGAAATGCTCTGGAAGATGAATTTTTAATTTAAATATACAAGTTACACGATTAATATGAGATTTCTTAAGATCCCTGGCATCACACACTAGAGCATGATTCCAAGATTTGACTTCGAAATGAAGAGATCATAAAGAGTTGCAACTTTCTCTTCTTGCAGTGATTCTTTAATAATGGCCAAGATTTTTAATTATACACAATTATACATCGTGTAATCGTCAGTTAAATATCAATTTCTTTTTAATCGAGTGTCAAATATTATTAAACGCTGATTATACCTAATTAATTGTCAGATCTGCCACCGATCGAAAAATCAAGACACGTGAAATATCGTCAGAAATTTTGTACAAATAAATCGAAATTATTGTTGGAGAATTAATTTGATTATTTTCATTATTTCTTTTGAAACAAAAACATTTAATATTATAAACGATTTAATATTATTATTTTTATTTAATTTGTGCACTGGATATAATATAGAAGTATATAATCTCGAATCAAGGTTTTATTATATGACATGCACGAATGTGCAACGAGGTTTCAGCAATTCTGATGCAATATTGGATGATTTTTTGTCTCGCAAGAATTCACAAAATTTATGCATCGTCAGTTTTAATATTTTTAATAGTGATAATATTTCAATCATAAAAAAGAAATATTATATAATTAATATTAATATATATATATATATATATATATATATATTAATTATATATATATATAATTAAATTAAATTAATTAATATTAATATTTCTTTTTTATTATATATTTATATATATTTATTTAATATTTCTTTTTATTAATTATATTTCTTTTTATTAATTATATTTCTTTTTTATTAATTATTTATAATTTGTTCCTTATTTTTTTAAATCGTTATTCCAGATTCTTATTTTTCAAAATTTTTGAAAATATGTCACTGCATTTCAGCTTTTATTATTTCGTTTAAATTATAATATAATTAATATATTATTATATTAATATTATATTAATTATATTATAATTTAAACGAAATAATGAAAGCTGAAATGCAGTGACATATTTTCATGAAAAATAAGACTCTGAAATTATGATTTAAAAAAATGAAGAACAAATTATAAATTATAAATCAAGAACATGTATATCGATAATAATTCAATTATAAATAATTTTTGAACTTTTTTTTGTCTCTCTCCCTCTCCTCCATTTCATTATAAAATATAATAATTAATATAAATATAATATATTAATATAATAATAATATAATAATATAATAATATAATAATGTAATAATAATATATTGAACAATCTAATATAATTTAACATAACAATTTCATATAATAATAATACAATAAATAATAATATATTAAATATTAATTATTAAATATTAATAATATATTAAATAATTTATTCTAAATTTCTATATTAAACAACGTCTTCTAGGACTGTCTAATTTTAGAATATCATCGTGATTTATCCCCCGAATCGATCGATCCTCTTATCGCAGGAAGAGTGAAAGAACTCGAACATTCTCAACAATATTCGAAGATTCCTTCGAGACGACGAGAATAGACGCGAATGCGAAGATATCGAAGCGAAAAAAATTATTATCGATTAATTGCATTCCGTAAAGTTCATTAAACTAACGCGATGCTCGGTTGATGTTAAATTAAATCATCAAGGAGATCATTGACAGATATACAAGGTTACTGATAACGTGTGAACCGAAGTAATTTTTATTATTATAATAAAAAGCGCGTTTAAAATACATTCTAGAAGAGAGGCAAGCGAAGAATATTATTAAAAGTATCAGATTAGATTATATATCATTATTAAAAATTTTCATTAATTCTGAATTTTAATTTTTCCTATTTTGTTAATATTACTAAAATAAATTTTTTTTAACGTGACGAGCACAGAAAAAAAATATATAACATTCTCGCGTGTAATTTGCAATTATTCAAAAGAAAACATGTTTTTCTTGTAAAATATCTTATATTTTTGTACCGTTATGTAATTATTTAACAAATAGATTCTTTGGCATCAGTTAAGCAAATCTTTGACTTTTTCATTTTTTAATTCGTTCTTCTTTGATTACAATTATTATTATACCATATTATTATTCGATCCAAAAATTAATTATATATACAGCTAATTTAATTATTTATTATTATGCATGCATTCCTATAAAATTACTTCACTTTTAAATCTCAAAATAATCATACTTTGTGGAACTGCAGTAAATAAATTTATATTCTTTCGAAAGGTCATAGTCTAAAACATAAAATCCTGCAGCAGCTTTTCTTAATATTTATTTATTGCAATGTTACGAATTTTTTTAAGAAACTTCCACTTTTGACTGATTCTTATTCAAACTTCGATTTTTATAAAAAAAAAATTTTCACATATGACAACAACGATTGGATGATGTTACAGAGACTTCGAAAAGTAATCCCAAATTTTTTCAAATTTTTTTAAAATTTAGAACAATAAAAAAACTTGGGAAGGACGACCTAGATCATGTTAATAAAAATAATCTTGCAATCGGGATGCTAACATTCTTCGAAAAAAAAAAAAAAATATTTCTAATAATTTAGGAAAAAAATCTCACGCATTTTTAAAGACATTTCCACTTTTGACTGATTTTTGTTCAAACTTCGATTTTTATAAAAAAAAAGATTTTAAAATTTAGAACAATAAAAAAACTTGGGGAGGATAACCCAGATCATGTCAATAAAAATAATCGAGAAACTAACATTCTTCGAAAAAAAATATTTCTAATAATTTAGGAAAGAAATCTCGCGTTTTTAAAGAAATTTCTATTTTTGACTGATTGTTATTCAAACTTCGATTTTTATAAAAAAGAAGATTTTAACATATGACTTCAACAGCGATTAGATAATGTTACAGAGACTTCGAAAAGTAATCCCAAATTTTTTCATGTATTTTTTCTTGCAATCGGGAAGCTAACATACTTCGAAAAAAAATATTTCTAATAATTTAAAAAAGAAATCTTACGCGTTTTCCGCGAGAGACAAACAAGCCATAATACAGAGCATTTTTCCCACGCAAAATAAAGTAATGGGATTTAAGAGATCGCGCGATAAAAGTAATTAAATCTCGGCGGGAAATCACGAATAATCACGGAATAATCTTCTAGCAATTCGTTCGAGGTACAAAAAAATGCGTCCGACTACTCACGTTACTTTGCTCGTGGAAATGCACAGGGGGATCAGAGAAAACGCAATCATATATCTCAGAGAAGCATGCATGCAGCGGGTCGTTGAACAAAGGCACGATGAGAGCGGCTGACGCAACTCGCCGAGAACTGTCAAACTCGGGCTGGCCTCTCGGCGTTGAAGGAAAATATACAGGGTGGCCCCGAACGTTCCAGCCAGACTTTGAGATCTTATAGAAAATTTAATTCTGAAGAAAAAATTTCTTATAAACATGGATCAAAAAATGCTTCCTTAAGAAGTTATCGCTCAAAAATCTCTGATGAAGAAGGAGCAAAAGATGAAAAGAAAATGAAACTAAATAAATTTCTTGAAAAATGTCTTTATTCATTTTCTACTATTACGTGCTATTACTATTAGTTTAAAAAAAAAATTATTTTATTTTCATAAAAGAAAAAGATTTTTATTTTTTATTTTTATCGTTTTTTTTCAAGAAATTTATTTAGTTTCGTTTTCTTTTTATTTCATTTTCCTTTCACCTTTTGCTCTTCCTTCATCAGAGGTTTTTGAGCGGTAACCTCTTAAGGAAGCATTTTTCGACCCATGTTTATAGGAAATTTTTTCTTCAGAATTAAATTTCCTATAAGATCTCAAAGTCTGGAACATTCGGGGCCACTCTGTATAATAAATATTTCCAGAACTCTCTCGAGAATTACCTGACTTCGCATTTTTCTCTTCCCGCGAAAAACGTACCCGACTTTTCAAGAAAATCTTAGAACACGTTGAAGTAAAACATGTTACACGTTTGGCGCGAAAAATATATCACTACGCAAAATATATTTAAAAAATTCACCTTTTCCCGCGAAAAGCGTATCCTAGAGGTAGAGGAAGACGCGAGATGATGCTCGCGTATCTTTGACAGATTGACTGATCGGAGCGAAACGTCACGCGAGGCGCGAGTAACGTCAAGTAGGAGGGAGGGAGGGTGGGAAGGAGGGGGGGCAGTTCGCACAGCTGAGTAACGGCCGGGCTGCCGAAAACGTCCGAAAACACCCGAACGAGGGATAAAAATTTCGCACATTCTCAAACTAGTTCGTGTGTGTCATTTCATGCGAGAACGTTGGAGCTTTATCCCCTTAAAACCCGCTTCTGGAACAACTTCCGAATGCACTGTTTCCGGGGAGTTGAACGCAAAAAAGGGTGGAAATAAAATGAAACGGATTAATGAGTACATCGATGAAATATATATATGTCAATTTGTTGAAACGATCTAGTTATGAACTGTGTTTAATCAGTAGAATTTATTATTTATTTTATAAGTCATTAAATTTATTATTTATTATTTATTTTGATTTTTGGAATTTATTATTTATTTTTAGTCATTAAATTTATTATATAATTTATTATTCTTTATCAATTTATTAATTTATTAAATTTATTTATTTATTTATTTTAATTATTGGAATTTATTATTTATTATTTAATTTATTATTTACTTTAATCATTAGAATTTATTATTTATTTTAGTCATTAAATTTATTATTTATTATTTAATTTATTATTTATTTTAATTATTAAATGTATTATTTATTATTTTGTTTATTATTTATTTTAATTATCAGAATTTATTATTTATTTTGATCATTAAATTTGATATTTATTATTTAATTTGTTATTTATTTTAATCATTAGAAGTGAAATTAATAGACAACGAACTCTATTGTTGAATTTATATCACAAGATTATCTATCGTTTTAGGCGAAGTTTTAGAGAAGTAGTCTCACTTGGCTTCGAAAATATTTTTCTATCTACTCTGAGAGTAAAAATGAATCATTCAAGAAATATGCGATGGTCCAGAACTTGTAATTCGGATAGAAGACAGAGTGGAGGGAGAAAACGCGGTGTCTGAAGTTTATATTTCTTTTAGAAAAATAAGGCAAATGTCTAGAATATTTTAAAATTTATATAAAAAAAACATTATATTAAAAATATATATTTAGAAAATATATTAAAAATGCAGTTTTATATAAAAATAATAGTAAATTTAATCAATAAATATGTGAGGGCTATTTTTTATAAAATACAAAAAAGGTATAAAAAAGGTATAAAAAAAGGTATAAAAAATACTTTACGATAAATGGAAAATATAAAGCAGTGCATTTTTATATCTCACACAATATTACTGAAAAATTCAAAATATGCAATTTAATATAAATATAAAATTTAATTTTGCTAAATAATATTTTTAAATCGATTTCTTTATAGGTAGCATAATAAAAATATAGATGAAATATTTTCTATTGTTATAACACGCAGGAAATTTTCACACATCGAATGTAGCATTTCGTTTTTTCTAAAAGGCTAAAGGTTACGTCATCACTGTGTATACATATGTGAGAGTTCAACGCACCCGAATTCAGTGCAAATGTTTATCGATCTTTCGACGTTACACATATGTTGCAAAGCGTGATATATTTGTTAAATTCCGACAAAGAGAGAATATATAAATTATATATATAAAAAAATACATTAAAAAATAATAAAATAAAATGTATATAATAAATAATAAATAATAAATTATATATATATATTATAAATTTATGTAATATTATATAAAATTAATTTATATAATATTTATAAAATATTTATATAAAATATATATAAAATTTAAAATTATATATAATAAATAATATATTTTTATATATATTAAATATATATAAAATAAATATATAATAAATATATAATAAATATATAATAAAATAAATGCAACTAAATATATAATAAACATGATAAATAATTGAATATAATAAATAAATTGAATAACAAGATATAAATATTAATTGTAGCAATAAAATATAATAGAATTAATATAAGACGGATGACAAAAAAAAGTTCTTATATAACATCGTTAGAAAAAAAGCGATGATTATTAACACCATTACTGTGATTATTATTAATTACCGCGAAATGTGACGACTATTTTATCGTCATAAACTCATCGCGTTCATTTTTACTCATTAATAACCCCACGTGACCTTTCCACAAGTGTCACGCGTACCGTTTTAACAATAGATGATAAATGTCGCGAAAAGGGGAGATTAATTAATTTAAAATAATTGAAAAAAAAAAAAAAAATCCGACGGAAACTACTAATCATTACAAGGTTATTATCTCTCTCTGTCTCTCTAAATATAATAAAAAATCAATGTCAATATCGGCGCAATAAAAAAAAAAAAAACAAGTTTATCGTAATCTCGAAAGATATTTTTAACATTGGTCAATACGCATTAACGCATTGTCGCCCTTGTTTATTCCTTCCCCCTTCGTTTCCTCTCTATAAATTTTTTAAGCATGCTGATTGGCTGCGGAATAGTAATTTTTTAGTCTTCAGAAACTTTCTATTCTGCAGCCAATCAAATAAATTTGTCGACAAATGTAATATCGACCTAACTCGGAAATTAAATTTTAAATCGCATCTTGAAAATGACAATAAAATGCGTAATAATCCTCCAATATTTATCGATATGAAAATAAAAACGCAATTGTTCAAATTAATATCGAGAAAAATTATAGAAAGAAATGTCGAAATTTCGCTTGATAAATCTTATTCGAAGAATCGTTCTAAGAATACGATTAAACGAATGAAAAAAGGAAGATCATTCATTCAGCTGAAAAAAAATCTTGTCCTTTGTTTCAAAATTACAAGAGGTTCGTTTCGAAGAACCTTCTTTTTCTTTCCCTTCATTTCTACAAAATCGTACATTTATTTTATTAAAAATGTAGTTTGAATATTGATATCTTTCGGCAAAAATTTTCTTTTTTTTTTATAGAACTGAACGAGAGAGATCTTTCGGCAAAAATTGTTTTCTTTTTTTTTATAGAATTTGAACGAGAGAAACGATCTCTCCGACATAACCCCATCGCTCAATCGATCGCAGCTGAAGTGTTAATCTCGCTCAAAATCGAGGATATTTAGTTTAGAAATTTTCTGGCCGCGGTTCGAGAGACGACGAGGTATTTTTAGACGTCAAAGGGGGAAGACAAGGAGGCTGCGAAAAACAAACGACCATGGAAACTCAAGGGATCGCGTCTCTTTCGCGAACTTTGGGACGGAAGATTGAATCGATGACGGGAGATCACTCACCCGGATGCGTCCGAAACGCCTTCACGTCAACGGATCATCCAATCTTGGCCCGCGTCTCGCTTCTCGGTCCAGGAGGATAAACAGAAACTGAACCAAGATACCGTCCAGACCAAGACTGACCGGTGCTCTGACGGTTGCTCGAACGATAAGGGACCTCCTCTTCACCCTCTCCCCCCCCCCCGCGCCTCCTTGTTTTATTGCGTCGCCGATTCAGCTGATCGTTGTGCGCCAACGCGCTTCGAAAGTTGGCGGGAATTTCAAACCTCTTCAACTTTTCAAAGCAGACTTGAACCTCTCTCTTTGCCACGTGTTAATTTTTTTCGTTTTTTGTAGAAATTTAGTTAGTTAATGTATGAAAGTTAATTTTATAATTTTTTAATTTATAATTTTTATAATATAATATTATAAATTATAATTTTTTATAATTGTATAATTTTATATTGTTAATTTTTATATAACTTTATCAATTTGGAATTTAAAAATCACAACTTCCTTCCGCATCGTTAAAGCATAAAAATGTTAAATCATTGTCACTGTCATAAAAATTGTAACTTTCTTGTGTGTGAAAATATAATAATTTATTTCGCTAATAAATAAGATAATTTATTCTTCAAAGTTGATAATAATAAATCGCTCTGATGCAACTCGTAAATATTATAAACTTTCCGTTATTGTTATGACAAAAAGTTAATTTTATAATTTTATAATTTTATAATTGTATAATTTTAATTATTACTTTTATATTATTACTTTGGGAATTAAAAAAAACACAAGCTTTCTTCTTGTATCGTTAATAAGAATGTTAAAATCATTGTCATTGTCATGAAAATAACTGTCTTGTGTGAAAATACAATTAATTTCGCTAAATTAAATAGATTAATTTATTCTTCATCGTTGATTATAATAAATGTTCTTGATTGCAACCCTTAAATATTATAATTTTCCTGTTATTGCTCTAGACAAAAAGTCATTTTATAAATTTTATAATTGTATAATTGTATATTGTCTAATTGTATATTTATATTATACTTTTAATATAATTACTTTGGTTCTAGACAAAAAGTCAATTTTATAATTTTATAATTGTATAATTGTATAATTGTCTAATTGTATAATTTTATATTATTACTTTTATATAATTACTTTGGGAATTTTTTTTAAAATTACAAGCTTCCTTCTTGTATCGTTAATGCATAAGAATGTTAAAATCATTGTCACTGTCATGAAAATAACTGTCTTGTATGAAAATATAATTTATAATTTTTTTTTTCGCTAATAAATACGATAATTTCTTCATCGTTGATTATAATAAATGTTCTTGATTGCAACCGTCGTGAAAATATTATAAATTTTCCTGTTATTGCTCTAGACAAAAAATCAATTTTATAATTTTATAATTGTATAATTGTATAATTGTCTAATTGTATAATTGTATAATTTTATATTGTTACTTTTATATATCTTTTATATATAATCACTTTGGGAATTTTTTTAAAAATCACAAGCTTCCTTCTTGTATCGTTAATGCATAAGAATGTTAAAATCATTGTCACTGTCATGAAAATTGTAACTGCCTTGTGTATAAAAATATAATTACTTATTTCGCTAATAAATAAAATAATTTATTCTTCATCATTAATTATAATAAATGTTCTTGATTGCAACCCTCGTGGAAATATTATAAATTTTCCTGTTATTGCTCTAGACAAAAAGTTAATTTTATAATTTTATAATTGTATAATTTTATTATTACTTTATAATTTATAAATTTATTAATTTTATAATTTAATTATTACTTTTATATAATCACTTTGAGAATTTTTTAAAAAATTACAAGCTCCCTTTTTATATCATAAATGCATAAAAACATTAAAATCATTGTCATGAAAATTGTAACTGTCTTGTGTGTGAAAATATAATTATTTATTTCGCTAATAAATAAAAATTAATAAATTTAATTTATTCTTCGTATCGTTGATTATAATAAATGTTCTTGACCGCAACCTTCGTGGAAATATTTTAAATTTTCCTGTTATTGCTCTAGATGAAAAGTTAATTTTATAATTTTATATATTGTTACTTTTATATAATCACTTTGAGAATTGTTTTAAAAATCACAAGCTTCCTTCTTGTATCGTTAAAGCATAAGAATGTTAAAATCATTGTCATTGTCATGAAAATAACTGTTTTGTGTGAAAATATAATTTATTTTGCTAATAAATAAGATAATTTATTCTTCATCGTTGATTATAATGAATGCTCTTTTCTGCAACCCTCGTGGAAATATAAATTTTCCTAATTGCTGCAACGTCTTTCATTTTCCTTTTATTTCTGGACCAATTGCACCAACAATCGATTAATTATAATTACAACTACCTTTAATCTTGGGCCACAGCGAAAGAATAACTAATATACAATTGTTACATAAATATAATCTTAACCATAAACATTCTCTACATTAGCTAAAGAAAAAAGAATAAATTAAATTAAATGGTCTTGCAAAAAATTGATTAATGATGCAATTGACCATATTTTCCTATATTTTGCGATGCACCGGTTTACACTTGTTATCATAAATTTTTAAGAAAATTGATCCAATTCATTATCTCTCTCCTCCTCCAGCTGTTTCACGGCTCTTTCCAAAGCAAACAGATGCTCGTCTTGTACACCAGGAGCTATTGTACGCATCGCAGATGCCAGTTTGTAGAGATATTCCGTGTTAGAGCCGCTGATACCTCGTGAAACGAGGATATGGCTCGCAATGATATCTATATTTTCTGTACCGGCAAAGTTTGGATTATCTTCTTCACCTATGTAAATAGTGAGGTAGAATGGTGCTTCATCCACAGCGATGGACAAAGAAGCTGTCGATATGCTCGTCTGCGTGAGATCACTCGAGAAGACATTGGCGTTCGAGGTGCTCTGGACAGATTTGGAGAAATTGCAGGGATAAAAAAGGACGGTTTTCTTCTTATATCCACCCTTCTCTCGAAAATCCAGGTGATTCACCACATTGTCTATGTTCTCGCTGGATATCTTGTACGCCAGTCCCCATACCTCGTCGTTGGGATCACTAGAGGCGAGCAGCGTCACTACACGTCCAGGCTAAAAAAGGAAAAACAGAGTTTATTAAACTGTTTTTGCCAAGAGCATCGCTGACTCCAAATCTTGGGAGTGCATCCCATTTTAAGCAACAATGGGCCTTAAAACGACTAAATAATTACAGTAATAATATTTAATATTTCCCAGCAAACACCAAGTAACAATTATATAACAGTTATATTGTTGAGTAGGAAATTATAACTAAGAGTTATACAGGGTGGACCAAAAGTCTGGATACAGTCGAATATAGAATGGAAAATAAATCGTATAGAATGCATCTTAGAACAAAATGCTTTAGACAAAAATTGTAAGGATTAAAAAGATGTATTTAACTGTAATATCCATTTGACATTGAGTGGCATCGCCAAGATCAGGGCAAGGTCAACTTGAATTTTTTAAATGGAACTCCCTATTTTTCATTGTATATTCTTGTAGCTTATCTCAAGAGCTTTCCAAAACACTATAATAAATTATTTTTTCCTCAAGTACTTTTTGAGTTATAAGGCTTGAAATCATTTCTTAATTTACATAAACCGTAAAATATCTTATAAAATATTCATTTTTCGATTATCTTACCTTAATACTTTTATGTACAAAATAATGAGAGGAATCAATTGGTGTAAAGAAAACAGTTACTTTTAAGAAAAAATATTTAATTGTTAATTGCAAATTACATATTTTCTTCGAAATAACTATGTGTTTTCTTTACACCAATTGATTCCTCTCATTATTTTGTGCATAAAAGTATTAAGATAAGGTAATTGAAAAATGAATATTTTACAAGATATTTTACGGTTTATGTAAAATTAAGAAATAATTTCGAGCCTCATAACTCAAAAAGTACTTGAAGGAAAAATAATTCATTATAGTGTTTTGGAAAGCTCTCGAGATAAGCTACAAGAATATGCACTGAAAAATAGGGAGTTCCATTTAAAAAATTCAAGTTGACCTTGCCCTGACCTCGACGACGCCACTCAATGCCAAATGGATATTACAGTTAAACACATCTTTTTAATCCTTACAACTTTCGTCTAAAGCATTTTGTTCTAAAATGCATTCTATATGAGATATTCGACTGTATCCAGACTTTCAGTCCACCCTATATAACTGTCACTTGATGTTTGCTGGGTTAATATTTAAATTTAATAATATAACAATAATACAACAGTAATATAGCAATAATATAACACTTAAATTTTGTATATAATTATTTTAAACAATTAAAGGAAAATATATACACATATTGGAAGGGGCCAGGCTGTGAAATGTCAAAATTGACATTTCCAGGAAAAACTCACCCTGTTAGGCACCCCTCTGTGATCGGTGCTCTTCTGGTAGAATCGCCTGACGTATCCCTTGATGTGGCCGACGAGCTTCTTCTCGTAGGGGAAGTCGGCCTTCCATATCAGGGAGCCATAACCAAACACCCACATGTTCGCTCGTGACACGTTCCAGGGGGGGAACCTTCCTCGTCGAAGACAGCCAACGATTACGTCGAGCGCGGAAGCCCCAGGCTGACGTCTCGATTGACAGGATCGTCCTTCAAGGTCGCGACATCATTTCCACGAGTACCCGCTGACAAGTCACACCCCATGTTATCACGTCTGACGCGTGTCGGATGCACGCGAACGTAACCTCTTCTTCCAGCGAGGGACTTCTCGAAAGGTGCACGTGATGTTGACGCGAAGGAATAATTTATAAATCACTGAGATACCATGATTTCCAAACTGTCACGGACGAATGTCCTCGCCATCCGATGTCTAGACGACCTCGTGCTCGTGGGTTAGTTGAAACGATGAGGTTTTTCAGTCAGATAAATTTTTAAAAATTGCAAAATTGCCCACGTTTGCATTTGATAGATTCTACAATATTATGTCATTTAGTATTAATTTATTATTACTTTTATTATTACTTTTTTTATTATTACTTTTATTATTAATTTATTAATTCATCATTAATTTATTATTAATTTATCATTAATTTATCATTAATTTATTATTCATTATTAATTTTTTATTAATTTATTATTAATTTATTATTTATTTATTATTAATTTATCATTAATTTATCATTAATTTATTATTCATTTATTATTAATTTAGGGTTAATTTATTAATTTTTTATTAATTTATTATTAATTTATTAATTTATTATTAATTTATGATTAATATATTAATTTATTATTAATTTATTATTATCGATACAGGTATGGGACCCACACTCCACGTCTTCCAGTGGTCCAATGAATGCGAGAGATATGAGTTGAGAAATAAATTGAATTGTTTATACCTAAGTAATATACATGGCATCGTGGCAGGGCCAGATAATAAATTAGTTGTATTCGGTGCCAAGTCCATATGCGTCTGCGACATTATTAATCTAAGAGAAGCAATTATGTGAGTATATTTAAGTATAATCAAAGGAGCACGATTATAATTTTTTGCGATTATAATTTTGTGCGATTATGTGTAATTTCCTATTGCAGACTTAAAAAACAATGCACTGATCAGCTGAATGACTGGATAATTGCTGTAGAATGGATATCGATTGAGGGACAAATGCAATTGGCAATTCTATTTGCTCATAATTATTTATGCTTATACAATACATTTGATAAGACTTCTCAGAATGTGCATTGTGAAGAAAAATGCATACTGTATCCTTTTGCAATTTATATTTATATTTATTAATTCTTTAAGGAATAATTGATATTTATCTGAAATGTTTTCTTAATTAATATACAGTTATGGTGGATCAATATCAGGAACTTCTCAAGAAAATCTAGTCGTTTTTAGTGGAACAGTATTTAAAGAAATTTTAATATGGAAAATAGACAACAATTATGATATTAATGAAAGAATGCCAGTTTTGCATCGCTTGATAGGACACAAGGTATTGTATTTAATGGGAAAACAAACAACTAAAAACTTCAATATTTAAACTTTAAATTCATTCTAGGGTGTGATTTTCTCTGTTAATTATGATTCATGTTCACAACTTATTTGTTCCACATCAGATGATAGAAGCGTCAGATTCTGGAAAGTGGTAAAAAATGAGAATCTTGAAAGCTATCATTTAAATTGGCAGACAGCAAAAATAGTCCTGGTAAAAACAATGTTTGTACATGCTGCAAGAGTTTGGAAAGCTATAATCAAGGATGATATTGTTGTCACAATAGGAGAGGTGGGATTCAAACATGTATAAAAAAAATTATAATTTATTTTTATACAGGGTGTCCCAAAAGTCCCGGACCGGTCGAATATTTCATAAACTATGCAGTTTAGAAAGAAATGTTTCAGACAAAAGTTGTATGGCTTGAAGGGGGCCATCAAATAGTGGCAATGATTTGTCATGGGAGAGTCATTTGAAAGTCACGTGAAGATCACCGTCAATTTCTTAAATGGAACTTCCTATTTTTATTATATATTCGTGTAGCTTATCTCGAGAGCTTTCTAAAACACTATAATAAAGTATTTCTTCATTGAGTACTTTTCGAGTTATGAGACTTGAAATCATTTCTTAATTTGGCATAAACCATAAAATAAGTAGTAAAATATTCATTTTTCGATTATCTTACCTTAATAATTTTATGTACAAAATAATGAGAGGAATCAATTGGTGTAAAGAAAACATATAGTTGTTTTTAAAAAAATATGTAATTTGCAATTAACAATTAAATATTTTGTCTTTAAAGTAACTGTGTTTTTTCTTTACACCAATTGATTCCTCTCATTATTTTGTACATAAAATTATTAAGGTAAGATAATCGAAAAATGAATATTTTACTAGATATTTTATGGTTTATGCAAAATTAAGAAATGATATCAAGCCTCAACTCGAAAAGTACTCAATGAAGAAATACTTTATTATAGTGTTTTGGAAAGCTCTCGAGATAAGCTACACGAATATGTAATAAAAAATAGAGGGTTCCATTTAAGAAATTGACGGTGATTGACGGATCTTCACGTGACTTTCAAATGACTCTCCTATATCAAATCATTGCCACTATCTGATGGCCCCGTTCAAGACAACTTTTGTCTGAAACATTTCTTTCTAAAGTGAGTCATAGTTTATGAAATATTCGACTGGTTCGGGACTTTTGGGACACCCTGTATAATAAATTTTATATATATTTTATTATATATATTTTTATATAATAATTTTTATATAATAAATCTTCTGCCGTTTCATAGGATTCACTCATGTGCACATGGTCACTCTCAGGTAATTTACTTAACAAAGTCCATCATGGAGCACCTATATGGAGTATCGATATATCTAAAGACAGTAGAAGAATATTCACGGGTGGAGCTGATGGATCTGTATACATGTGGCAAACCACACATCATATTAATCCAAAAATAATTTCCCTGTCTAGTAATGACACGCATAGCAATCCTAAATTTATATCCTATTTGAGGAATGATACATTATTGATCTTTACTGAAAGTGGGATGCTATTTTGTTACGACAAGGAAAAAATATTGCGTAGAAGATTTTCTCCAAGCTCAAAAACACAACGCAATTATTACATTATGCAAGTCTCTCCAAGTCGTTTCTTTGTTGCCTTTGCATCTAGAGAAGGATACGTAACGATATATCAGGTATCTCAAGGTACAAACATTTGTCACATTTGATTATCATCATATAAATATTAATATCAATGAAATACGAATAATTTTTTTTGCGAGTATATCATTTCTTTCACTCAAATTCTCTTTTAATCAGATGATCATTTTGTTACCGGGTTTGTGTCTCATGTCATCGAAGAGAGAATAATGGAATCACAAATCTTTTCTTTGCACTGGTTGGAACACGCTAATAGCACTAGCTTAATAGCATGTGGAGCAAATGGCCTTTTGAAAATATTTACCCTCATAATCCATGGTGTGTACATTGTATATGCAACTAAATGTTCAAGTATCTGAAATCAAATATCTTATTACTATTTAATTGTCCTTTTCATATAATTGCAGTTGATATAGCTAAAATTCGTATAGATGCGCAATTTGTATTACCTCCCAGTAGAGAACGTTGGCTGACGGCAACTATAATTTACAAACAGTTGTTAATATGTGGAGACAGAGCTGGAAATGTTTATGTATATAAGTGGAATGAACAAACAAATAAGGATAAAAAAGAACCTATTCAAATACTCAATAAAGTTCACGGTAAAATAGGAGTTCAATCGTTTAATATATGGGAAGAGAAGTTAATGACAACTGGACGCGATGGAATGTTGAGATTTTATGAACTGAATAAGGACGAGACAAAACCCTTATTGATGCTGCATAGAAAGAAGATGCCAATCGACTGGATCAGTGGCATGTTAAAATCAGTGGACGGACACTGTACTCCTTTTATATTTGGTTTTAAGGAGGTATATAAATAAAATATGTATGAAATAGATGTAAAAAAGATTGGAAAAGAATTTTATCGTAATTATTTTTGCATAGGTGGAATTTATAATATATAATTTGTCGACTGAAAGCATTGTAATCAGAGTTCCTTGCGGTGGCGGTCATAGATCGTGGGACTGTATAATGTCGGGTGCAACAACAAGTTTCATTTATATACAAAATAAGCAGATTTACGTCTTTAATTATCCTCTATCTTCAGCACTTTTTCCAATTTTACAGGTATATAATACTGAACTGTTTGAAAATCAACTGTGGGAATCTTCAAACTATTGTTTTTCTTTTTCTAGAATGGTTTTCACATAAAAGAGACATATTGCTTGCAACATATTTCGAAAATCGGTTTTCTTAAACAAGATAACATTTTCATCTCTGGTGGAGAAGATTGCACTCTTCGTGTTAGCTGTATACGTGAATCGTTTGAAGACGATTCTCATGATGCCTTTCATAATTTAGGAAACTTTGATGGTCATCTTTCAGGCATAAAATGCATAAGCACTATTAAATTAAAAAAAACCGATGATTCAATCAGCAAATATTTGGTTTTCTCTGGCGGAGGAAGAGCGCAATTAAAAATTTGGGAAATAAGAATCAAAAATAAAGATTGGATACCGATAAGTCACTCGATATCATCGAGTGACTTATCGTGCTTAGATATAAAATCTCATATGCTTTATGGACAAGATCAGTACCGCAGAAAACCTTGGCAAGAATCTGAGCAATCTTATATTATTGAACCAGAAACGCGTTACATGGATATTCGTATACATTATTCTTCTAAAAATCCAAATCATGTGTTAGTCTTTATAGCTTGTGCAGATGGATACTTGAGGTAATTTCTATTTTGTGTTTTTATCAATCATATCGGGCTAATAGGATAATAATATCGTGATTTTCTGTTACAGATTATTTATATATAATATCACAACCAATGACATATGTTTAAAAGTATCTACCAAACATGTAGACCGTTGTATTTTAAAGATGTACATACTATCGCATAAATCCAAAGTGATCATTTTAACAATGACTACTGATGGAATATTACGTTTCTTCAATTTTACTAAAACAGTCTTGAAAATACATAAAGATGCGAATATCGGAAACCAAGATATTGTAGACTTTAGTGACGAGCCTTTTGCAGAATTTCGTTTGCATCAATCAGGGATTAATTCTTTTGATTTAAAGCACATGGATGAGGATAGATATCTCTTAGCCACCGGTGGCGACGACAATCTTCTCAATCTCGTATGTTTTCAACTTTGCATATCAGAAAACGACGCACTGTCAGCTGTAACGTTGTCCAAATGGAGTACAGCATCAGCACATTCCGCGCAAATTACAGGTAAAAACTTGAGTAAATAATATATATTATATATCTTTCACAAGAATTTTTAAAATAATATCAAAATTGATTAATAGGTTTGAAATTTAAAGACGATGATCAGATATGCAGCGTGGGAATAGATCAGGAAGTTATTGTCCACAGTTACTCCTGGTCCCATGGAGTCATATCTGCAAATAAGTTAAATCAAGTATTTACATCTGTCACAGATGTGCAAGGCATGGACTTGTGGCCTTCCGTTGTGTGAGTTTAAAGATTTGTTACAAAAATGTCATCATATTTTTTTGCTTTACCCTGATAAAAATTGATTGAGATTATGTTTACAGTGGCAGCAATATGTTGTGCATATATGGAAGAGGCTTTGAAGTACTAACTATCTAGAAAACCGAATTATTATTTGCACGAAAAATACTTTCATGGAAATATAATACATTAAATATTACATTTATTTATTCATTTTTTTATAATCTCAGAACATTATATACATGTAATCTAAAAAAATTATATGTATAATAATTATGTATAATAATGTATAATAATATGTATAATAATTATGTATAATATAATGCAGATTTTTACTTCATTTTATCTAAATAATAACTGAATTATGTTTATATTCATACAAAAAAGATTCAAAAACAACAAATTATTAATTATACAATTATTGTATTAATTATACAATTATTATTACCATTAAATACATTTCTACCATAAATAAGTTTGATTAATTGTTACTAGTATAATTAATATATTACCTCATACATATTAATTTGTCCGAAAAAAGTGCAGAATCTAGTGAACCATTTTCTGCTATTATATAAAATATTAAAATTTGATATTCATGCGCAATAACTCTACATTTTTATTTTTATTTAAACTTGTGGATTTATCAGGATTTATCATATTAGTACACTGTAGTATAATGAATCGGTGTAACAGAATTATTCGAGAAAACATGCTTGTCAAATTACTGTAAAATACAGTGTTGTAATATCTGCATTGATCGTAAAATTATTTATTGATATTGATGTAATTTCATATATTATTGTCTCATCTATTATTTTCTAATATAACGATGCTTCATAAAATTTCTTTTTTAGACGTGATCGCGATCAACCGAAAAATTATTTATTTATTTTAATTACTTTTATATAACAATGTGATTAATTAACTTTTATAAATAACGCATAATTAATACTTATATATGTCGTAATGAAACTTAATTTTCAAACTGCATGTTTCGCATAATTTATTCATTTAATCAGATAGAATCATAGTAACAGAAATCTAAAATAATAAATCATTATTTCGATATGAAATCGATTTTTACGAGCAGAAATTATTTCTTTAATATTTATAGAGTCGAATATATGTCTGCGACGTTATATTTATCAATCGTTCTATTTATCAATCATTTAAATATAATTCGGATTGTGAGAACGCACAGTAAAACAATCGAATCGTTGATCTAAACAATTAACATAATGAAAGGCTTCATGATACATCAATCTTTTAATAAATAATCATAGAATTAAAAAATTTATATAATCTAAAAAATATTTGTATAATACTTTAATATATTTCACGTATATATGTTAAAGTACGTAAAATATTTCGATGACGAATAGACAATAACACCGACCTTGACTGCGTAAACAATAGCGCGTTAAATGTTTATACAAGGTGTGCCAAAAGTCCCGGACCGATCGAATATTTCATAAACTATGCACTTTAGAAAGAAATGTTTCAGACAAAAGTTGAATGGCTGAAGGGGGCCATCAGATAGTGGCAATGATTTGACATGGGAGAGTTATCTGAAAGTCATGTGAAGATTACCGTCAATTTCTTAAATGGAACCCCCTATTTTTTATTACATATTCGTGTAACTTATCTCGAGAGCTTTCCAAAACACTATAAATATTTCTTCATTGAATACTTTTCGAGTTATGAGGCTTGTATGTATTAATTGTTTCAATAATTGCAAAGAGCTACACTTTCACTTGTACTACTTGTTGTACTAAAAGCTGTTATGATTCCTCATTGACTCTCGTTAACCTATTGATTGATTTTATTTTTGACACGAGTTATGTTAGATATATAAGATGCCTTCAAAAAATAAAAAAAAATAGATTTTACGATATGAATAAAACTACATCACATTCAATTTATATTATTTAGGAATGGTATATACCGGTATTATTAAGCAAACAAAAAACAAATGGCAATTTTTCGTTTAATTTTATAATTTATATAATTTAGTTTTCTTGTCTTGTCTTGTTGTTTAATACATATAGAGCCTAATTCCTTTCCATTTATTTAATTCACGCGTAGCTGAAAAGATCGCGTTTCATTTTCCATAGTTATAAACATATAGACGAGAGGGATATCGGTGTGGGTTTGAATAGCTCAGTGGTAAGAGCAATCACCCAAAAGCAAGCGAAAGACTCGGGTTCGATTCCCGATTTAGCGACTTCGCCCCGATATTTTTCTCGTCTACATCTATTCAGGGCGGTAAAGAGGGTTTATAGAATTCTCAAAAATGAGAATCTATATCTTGGTAAATGCTGGAGGCAGGTTGCCGATGACTCTTAACTGTTCGTCACCATTGTACCAGTTGATGCTACGTTGCTGGAGTGCAGCGGATGCTAGACCAAATTTCAAATTTTGTCTGGAAAATATTATAGCATTAAGAAAGAATATGGAAGATGCCTTACTGAGTCCAGTCGATATTATTTAGGAATAATTAAATTAATATTTATCTTATTTTCCAAACGATTCAATAAATCTTAACGTAGAAAAAATATTTCTAGAATATTTCGAAATTGATTTTGTTATTTTCAGGTTTAATCTTAATATTAAATTTATCAATAAAGATAAAAGAAATTTTTTAATTTTATCTTCCATAAAATTTTCTGCCTTGAATGTTTACTTCCTTCATACAATGTGGATTATGCTGCGCATAATGATGCTCATTATGTCTGTTTATGCATCCGTCACTTTTAAAAATTGCCTCGTCACTCCAGAGAATATTTTTCAAAAATATATCGTTTCCGACATCATTGAAATTCACCTGCGTAAATCGATTATAGATTATTAGTATAAAGTTGACGACTGATATCAATCGACAACAAAACGTCTGATATGTTGCAACAAAAAAGTAGAAAATAAATTTTTAAATATAACTATACTAATATAAATATACTTTTAAATATAACTATACTAATATAAATATACTTACGTGTTCAATAACCCATTCACAAAAATTTATTCGACGTAGCATATCACCAGGTATGAGCTCGTGTGTTGTATGCCGTTTAAATGGATGCCAACCCAGGGAATATTTAATAATTTTATGAACGGTAACCTGATTCATGTTCAAATCTTTCAAGCTGCTCTTGTGCTTATATAAGAATTTGTTATAACAGCCTCTTGAACAGCATCAATTATTTCTTGTGAAACATGAATGGGCCTGGTGGATTTGTAAAATTGTTCATTTCTTTTTAATCTTTCACACAAGCGGTGAAAGAAACTATGGTCCACATGTCGTCTGTCCAGAAATTTTTGAGCGTAAAGTGCAGCTGTTTGCCTTTGATTTTTTCGACACTCGTCATAAATAAGGATGTCATGTCCGTTAATTCTTCGTATAAATAATTATTTCCTTCCATCGTAATCTCTTACGTATGATTTTTTACGCCAACAAAATTGTTTGAGTATCCAGGTGCATTTCTGTTTTTATAGTTTCTTGATCATCTCTTGTTTGTTGATTTGAACATGACCCATGTTACCATTCAAAAAATTATTAAACATTCCTTTGGGGAGGGGGGGAAGGTTGGCATCCTTTTAAATAGCATACAATAAAAGTTCATATTTGGTGATATGCCACGACGTTTAAATTTTTTTGAATAGCTTATTGAACATGCAAGTTTATTTAAAAAATTTATTTTACTTATTAATTATGTCGTCAACTATATACTAACTTACTCAATTTATGTAAATGAATTTGAATGATGCCGGACGATATATTTTTGAAAAATATTCTCCGGAGAAATATTCTATGAAGCAATTTTTAGAAGTGATGAATGCATAGATATAATAAGTTTTTATTATGAGCTTCTTAAAAAAAATAAAGTGTATCAAATTTTGCAGGAAAATAATGTGGAAATTCTTAAAAATATATTTCGTAACGCGTGTGCAGAAACCACTTCTTTCATGATAAAACGAGTGAGAGACATTTTCATGGACAGGATTGCTCTTTGTTTAGGAAAAAATAGTGATTACATCAATTTTTATAATTTATTATATTTAAAGATAAAAAATATTATTCATTATAAGTATTTTTTATTATATTTGTTCAAATTTACTTATTAAACTATTTATGTTATTTTATCTAAATTATTAAATAAATATTTTATTTATATTATTAAATTTAACAACTGTTCACTACAGAGTGATAAAAGCCGATTTCTCTTTCCTTATTCCTCTTCCTCTTGCATTCTGATCTTATTTTGCGAGCCCAATAAAGCATGCCCCTGGTGGATAGATAGGCAACCCGACTGATGTGTATTGTTGGAAACTGTATACAGGGTATCGCAGACCATCCGTATCAGTCGAATATCTCAAAAACTGAATACGGCAAACAAAAATATTTCAGACAAAAGTTATAAAGTTGAAAGGGAGCCATAAGATGGTGTCATAAGTTTGACTTTGGAAAGCCGTTTGAAGCTCACCTTTAATTTTTTAAACGGAACCTCCTATTTTTTATTATTTATTCTTGTAGCTTATCTTGAGAGCTTTCGAAAAGACTATAATAAAATATTTCTTCATTTCTTCACACCAATCCAACATCCACCCAAAGGTGTGAGGCCGAATAGCTCAATGGTAAGAGCAGTTGTCCGGCAAGCGAAAGACTAGGGTTTGTTTCTCGATTCAGCGACTTCGCGCCTATATTTTTCTCGTCTACATTTCTTTAGGGAGTAAAGAGGGGTCTATAGAATTCTCAAAATTTGAGAATCGATATCTTAGTAAATGCACCAAGTAAAATATATGCATATGCCTTGTGCACGTTTTAAATTTTTGCGAATAATTATTCTTTAAGAAAAAATTTACGCACTACCATCCGCGGTGGCTCTTAATCCCTCTTTTCTTGTATAATGTGTTTTTTATTAATGTTTTACGAATAAAAAATATCGGATACGTTTAAGAAACCTATATAAAACGAATGTATGCTACCTCGGGCATATCATAGCATATCTTAAAGTTATTTATTGATGACAGTCACGTGTCATAAAACATTGTAGTTCTAAAAAGTGACGTAAAAGAGATGATATATTGAATCCAATAAATATTATTGTTATATGTATTATCTAACTGATAGAAATAACTTATTGTTCATTAATGAAAAAATATTGTAGATGAATATGCATGTTAATATTTGAATATTTGTTTTCTTACGATACATATTAGATATTCAACAT